TAAAAATGTTCCCAAAGTGATAGTCAAAATTCCAAAGGAAAAAGAGTTGCCCAGTAACTTCCCAATAGATGTATCTGGACAAAAAGTTGATGTCATAACGAATGTTCTCAACCTTTCAGTTTTTAGTTCACTTAAACAACTCAAAATAAAGGCATCTAATATCCCTCCCATTCAGAGAGAGCTCAAAGTTCCCAAAGCTCCTTCATTAGGGCGTAGGTTTGGAAATATGGTCTAATGAATCTACAGACTCAATATTTTCTGCCCCATGCTCTATGTGTTGACATACAGGATTGATAACATAACAATAAGCAGATATAGATTATTTATCACAATTTTACAAGTTCAACTCACTTCCCTAACCAAGTAAAAAAGACTCGCAATGTAGTTATATTACAGTTCAACTTTAGTATATTAAAAAAAATTTAAAGCTTTCATGATACCTAAAAATACTGCAATGAGAAAAATAATCATTTTATCCTGTGTTAAGGGCTAAACTTTTTCCCCCGCCAAATTCATATAATCAACTCCTAACCCCCATTACCTTGAGATGTATTTGGAGATAAAGCCTTCAAAGAGGTAATTACGTGCGGTCACCAGGATGGACCCTAAACCAATATGAATGGTGTCCTTGTAAGAGGAGGATGTTAGGACACGGACAAGCAGGGGAAGGGGGGGGGCAGTGAGAAGACACAGGGAGAAGACAATCATCCACAAACCAAGGAGAGAGGCCCTCAGCAAAACCAACCCTGCCAATACCTTGATCTCAGACTTTCAGCTTCCAGAACTGTCAGGAAATAATTTTCTGTTGTGTAAGCCTCCCAGTCTGTGGTCCTTTATTATGGCAGCCCCGGGAAACTAACACATCCCTCTTTTCAAATATATTTTGTCCTTGAAGTTTATGGTATCCAATGCCAGTTTGACTTTTGTGAGAAATTGCCGGAGGTCTTTGGCAAGACTTCTTTCCGCACAGATAACACAAATAAGACGCCCATTTCTGAATTATGGAATACTTTAAAAACATTAGAAATTATCATATAGTCACTTCCTTAAAACTGTTACTTAAATACTAACTATAGCATGGGTTCTTATTGGGAAATTTTCTATTTTCTTTCCATACGTAAAAAACATGTCAATGAAAGTTTAACACAGATGTCTGTATTTAAAAAAAAAATTGCCAAGATGAAATATTCTGAATACAATGCTTTGAATTTTGACAATATTTTGATGGGCACCAAATCCTAATATGTACTAAAGGGAAACACTCAACACTCTTTTGGAATCCAAATTTAATAAAATTATTCTTCTGCCAATAGCTACATGATTAACACATAAAACTTGGCTCTTCCTGTAAATTTTATCATATGTATGGCAAAACCATAATGCTTTAACTACACTGAAGAGGAACTTTTTAGGCAACCTTCAAAAACCGAGGTACAGACAAAAATATAGCTGAAAAGGGAGACTAAGAAGATTTCAGACTAATTTCCATACCATAAAGCGTTTTGTCTGATGTTTAAAGAAAAGGTCACATATACACTAATAGATGCACTGTATAAATAGTCCTAGAATTCCAAAGCTAAGAGGGGGGAAAAAAAATCACAAAAATAAAGTATTTGTTTTGCCATAAAGAAGAGTAATTAAACTGAGCGTTTCACGGGTCCAGTTACATAGTCATTGTCCTACAGGCACTATACAGTGTAAGGAACTTCACATTTTGGGTAGTCTTGTAGTCTTCTTGAAGTCTGTGTCCCTCAGAGGAGTATTGATTACGTTCTTAAAACAACCCCCTCTTCCACTAAAAATAAAATCAAACACCAGTTTGGATTTAATGCTCAAATACCCAAGACGTGTGTTCAGGAAACAACTTCCAAAAGTGGAGAGTAGACTTCTTTAAAGTGCTACTTTAAATAATATTTACAAGTAACATGGCGTGATTATTAGGGGACATTAGAGAAACAAACCCTATTTAAGAAAATGTGCCTACTGGAAAAAAAGTGAGCAATGGCCACCATAGTCCCAAATATTGAGAAATATCTTCCAAATGGTAATACTAAAAAAGACAGGAAGGGGAAGAAAACAACAATGACAACAATAATAACAACTGGCCCTTAATTGTGAACATCCTGCTGGGCATCAAGCAACATTTATTTCACTTCTATGCCAACTTCTACAGAAAGTACAATTCCAAAGAGCTTTCTAGAAATCAACCACCTGCAGCGTCCTGGTGAAGAGTGAGGGCTCCGGAGCCAGTCCTCCCAGGCTCCGTCTGTGGCTCTACCACTGACTAGCTGTGGGACCTTGGACAAGTCACTGAACCTCTCCATACTTCAGTTTCCCCACTCAGATGGAGAGAAGAACAGAGCTGTCCCCGTGGATTGTTGCATGAATGCGTTTCTCCCTGGAGAACTGCAGCACAGGGCTTGAAATTTGGTGTCCCCTAATTGTCAGCGGTGATGGCCGCGGTAGAGTAAAGCAAAATCCAGTTACAACCCGAGAACAATAAAAATGGCTGGTGAAGTTGGACTGAACAAACCAATGAAAAGTCTACCCTCCGTGACATCCAAACACATTCAAGAATCTAATTTACACACAATTTTTTTCCGTCTAGTGCCTCACAGCACACACTGCATTCTAGAGATTCACATGTCCACTGATCCTATGCCCACAGCACTGGACCAGACAAATAAACGAACCATTCTTGAAGGAGTTGTCCTCACACAGCTGAACCTTAGGGCCTACAGATAAAATCTTCAGCACAGCATTCACTCAACATGGCTAAATGCACATTTCCCAAAAACACTAGCCAAGAACATCAGAGGCAAATTTGGTTGAGTATTTGTGAGAGCCACGGGTCCTCAGGAGTGATGGCTGAGTGGCCGCTAGCCCAAAGACGCAGCGGCGGACTGTGACAGGGAGCGTGGACACGGCACGGTCCTGAATTCCAGCACCTGGACCGCCACTGTCTCGGCCTGCATGCGCAGGGCCGCCTTCCGCCAGGGCGGCACTCCCCTCCCCCGCCAGCACGAGTTGGGGGCATGGGCAGAGTCTGGCCAAGACCACCAGCAGTAGCTTATTTTGTGCTACTTTCAATGTTAAAAGCTGTGAAAGCATCAGCATGGTTTGAACAGTTGTATCTGGCCCCGGCCACCCTCCTAAGAACGTATATCCAATTTTCATGCCACTTCTCTATCACCTCCTAATCCCCTTCTATTCTCTCCTCCAGAAACTGCTTATCCTGTTTCAAGTAAACAAATATAAACAGGGTTTTCTAACCAGTTGCAAAACTCCAGTGCCTAACAGCACACACTGCATTCTGATCTGATCCCTACTTACACACACCAGGATGTTCCTGAGAGACTCAGGCCAAAGTTAATTTTCTTCTCTTCTGCCAATGTCCTTGGTGTCCTTGGCCTCCACTGGACACACAATAGCTGAAGCATAAGTACATTTTCTCAGCATTTCCCTTGACTAGCTTTAATTCCTTACATGTGGTGAGACTGGTTTTGGATATAATCATTGTTTATTTCCTTAGTACATTTTCTATCTCCTGCAAGTATGCTGCCAAATGTTTAAAAGCTTTATACTTAGAAGCACAAGTCAACAGAAGAAGATGGGAGATACACAAAAAGAGAGAAATGCTCCTTTTAAACAAAAGCTGAATGTGGTTTAACTCAAACTGAGTTTTTGAATTCTACCAAAGCCAGGATGCAAAACCACCCTGACAAAAACATAGAAAACACCATAAATAGCGACTTAATGAATCAACACAGCAAAGCAACATTTACCTAGAAAAAGCCTTCTGCAATGTGGTCTCCATAGCACTAAAGTTGCAAGATAATAAAGGGGCTACATTCTCTAAATTCTACCTGTTTTAAAAAAAATCTTAATGAACCATTCCATTTTTTTTTAATTTAAGGAATATTTGAAATGATGCTTTGAGGAGTGACTTCATTCTCTCCCAGATGCTGACAAGAAATAAGAATGTTACAGCAGTGACTAAGTAATGCAAAGAATTATCCACTACAAAGAATTCACATCTTTTAGATTAGTAATATATCAACTCTCAGGCAGTGTCAGAATTATTACTCTCTGATTCGGAGTAGCTGAGTACCCTCAAAACTTTCTGTTGCTGAAAAATCATCCAACTGACATACGAAGAATATACATGAAGCATGGCAACAAATCTGCGTCAAATTCTGAAGATCTCTATACTATTGCTTGTTTTATGTTTCTGAAAGATTTTGCTGTCAGTGATTTATTTCACATCCATGTGGCCAGCCATTTGTTTATTCTATTGCATGCCATCTGTTTTTTGGTAGAGAGGTTTCAAGTTCTTCTCATTCCCTACTTCATATCCCACAGAAAACAATTTATAATAGACATAGATTTAAATCACTTGGATTCATGTGGCATTGGTAACTCGAGCTGCCTTTCATTTATATTTGGCAAATGCTTTAATGGGATTAGCAAATTGTGTTATTATGTGGTACTTAGGAAGATACAACACCTTTTTTTTTTTTTAACAATGACAAATGATGTTAACGGTTTCATTCTGGGATGTTTAATAGCAGGAGAGATTTTGCTAACATTAAAGGAAATTGCCCTGATAGACAATAAAGTCGTACCACAAACCCTGTCTCTATCTTTTATTTCTGAGAACCAGAGTATACATATCGGGATGTGGTAGAGTCTACAGCGAGGAATGACTTTCCCTTACAAGTGAAGCATCTTGGTATTTATCACGTAAGCCACAGATCTGAAAACCTGTCTGGTTCTTACATCTTGGTGGCACCCTCACAGCTGTCTAACCATGTTCCAACTTTTCTAGAAGATGGCCCCAGACTTCACCAAAGAGAAGTTTATGCCACAAACTCCAGCTCATCAGAACCAATTCATTCCCCTTCTAGGACTCACTTTGATTTGCTCTGAAGAAGAGCCAACCATTCAGAGAAACAGCTTCTTGTTGAAACCATACAGATGATGTTTAAAGTGTTAATTACCATTTTTACAAGAATCCTTGCTGCTTGGGTGGAGAGGGGGTATCTGATGACAGGACCCAGCGGCTGTCCACAGTTCATGGTTGACATCCAAGGGCTGACAAACGTCCAACTGGAGCTCTACTTGATTTTCACTAGTCCTTACCAAATCAGAATTAGCTATATTCTGGGGATAAGTGGCATCCTGGACACCTGATAGAGTCGAATTGTTGTAAGAGTTAAGCGACATTTGTACTAAAGCTTCATTAACGAAGAATGAGTTTTCATGACACAAACTCTCAGATCGATTAAGTTCCATTACCTGTGTAAGAAAATACAAAAAAATACAATAATTTCTCCAATAATTTGTACAAGTTTTATAAAGTATGTCTTTCTAATAGTTTTAGTAATGAAGATGTTTAATAAGAGTCTGATACCCATCCCCTACTGAGCTAGTGCCAAAACTTCAAGTCACTGGGTCTAGCCTACCTTTAAAAACAAAACAAAAGCAAAAAAACCCAAAAAAACCTAGCAGTCGTGCCCTCTACCACTGAAGTGTTTCCACTTTGAGAGCAGCATTTTTATTTTTGCTGAATAAAATGTTGAAAATATATGCATGAGGTATTTGCAATATACGCATGAGGTATTTGCTATAAATGTAATTTAGCCAAGTCGAAAGGAAAATCAGATGCAACACAGACCTTTCTTATCATCAAGTTTTACAACTTTATGCACTATCAGTAAAAAGCATTTCTGTGCTCAGAGTGCAGCAAAGTAAACTCCTGGGGGGAAAATGGAACTGGTGAACCTGAGTAGAAGGGGTACGAATCGAACACAATCTTCAGAAAGGTTTTAATATCCCTCCCAGCCACTAATTAGTATACACACATTAACTGTATTACTTAACAGACTAGTATTATACTTGCTAAATTCAGTACCTATAGATTCACATTAAAAGCTAATTGATCTGCTAAAAGGTATACCTATACGAAACTCTGAAGGCTAGATCAAGCAAAGGGGTCCTTCAAGTCCAGAAAAGGCAGCATGCTCCCAGCAAGCAGGGCTCCAGGACAAACTTTGCCTTACTGGAGGACTCCTTTCTGTGTTTCTCCCCTGGGGTAAGAGCACCACAGAGTACAATGAGCCCTCCATCCAACAGGAGCTAGGTCTTCCAAATTTCCCTATTGCGAGTCAAGACGCATACGTGTGGTCTCGATAGGTTCCCAGTTTCTGCTACCCACATATTAACTCTTGGGGGCTCTTAACACAGCGGCAAAAGGACAGGCATCTGGTCAGTGTCCCCGGAGTGACCATGACTAAACCCATCTCTGAGAGGCTGCCTTCTACTCGGCTTCCACAAGCATGGAAGATCCGTACCTCTGTGCTTCTTGGAGCAAACGCTGCGGGAAGGCTACTCTGCCGACCGTGTTTCCAACCACACAGCAGGCTCTGCTGGCCCCGCATCCTCTCCCTTTCCCTCTCCACCAGGCGCTGGCCCTCCCTCAGCCGCTCCAGGTTCTGCTGGTATTCCTGGAGCTGCTGGTCCAGCTCCCCGCGGTTCCTGAGCAGCAGCCCCTCCTTTGACTGGCACTCGGCCTCCCGCTCCTGCAGCCGGCCGGCCCTGGCCTCCTGTTCCCGCTGCTGCTGGTCGCACTGGCGGAGCCAGCGCCGCTGGTCCTGCTGCAACTGGTATTGCAGCTTGTGGATGTCGGCCAGCCCCTCCCGCTGCTTCTCCAGGTTGCGGAACTTCTCCTGGTCCTGGAAGGGGCTCCCTCGGAAGGACGCGCCGGCGGAGAGTCTCTCCTGCTGCGGGAGAAGCAGCCTGTGGACCCGGATGTGGCTATCCTGGATGGTCAAGGCGGCCTGTGAGAGCAGGGCAGGGGCAAACAGTCACGGCCTCCACGTGTGTGTTTGTGCTCTGGGTTGCAGCGACCTCTGAACACAAAAAGCACGACCCCATTCTTTCCTCTTAATATTTCTGTCCCTTTTCTAAGTTATCTCCCCAGGCTGACCTTGGCATTGCCAAGAGGCTTATCCCACATTTCCTAGCAGGATGGCTTGGGAATTAATATCCAAAAGAAGAAAAAAAAAAAGGCACAAAAGCCATACTCATCCCCACTTTTGGAAATGTGGTTTTGTTGCTGGTTGTTGGGTAATATTGAAGCAAGTCTTGTGAATAAGAATTCAGTACGCAAATTCACAAGACTGCATTCCTGTTCTATGTCTCATTCTCCTAGGGCTCTCCACTCAATAATTCATGAGAATTTAAGATTCTATATAAACCTGGTAGTATCCTTTATTTGAGTCCCAAACCAGAAATTACTTAAGCTATATTACATACATGAAAACATAAAAATAAAAGTCAACCACTTGGAGACTTTTGGTAAATAACCTTTTTATAATGTAATGCCCAAGGATAGCCGTTAATTTAATCTTGAGGAGCTACGTAAGTGGTAAAGCTATCTCGTTACTGTTATTTCTTTGTATTATAGCAGGAAGGTCAGACATAAAGTCTTAAGCTGAAATTCATTTGTTTAATAGATTGCTAACAGGAGGCTGGAATGATTAAGGGAACATAGATACTCTAAAGCCCAGAGGATATTACCAACCAGATTAAAAAAACATTTGGAGTTGCAGTATCTGCCTATGAAAAGTTTGGCAGCATCACAGGAAATAATTGCCAAGATTTGGAAGGATTCCACAAAACCAAAAAAAAAAAAAAAAAAAAGGAAAAAAAAATCTCTGTGAATGCCCTTGGAAGCTTTTAATTTTCTAAGTTCCCATTTAAAGCACAAAGAAGCACAAAAGGGACAAATTGAAAATGGCCACACACTGGGTATGTATGTGTGTTTTAACTCGTTATGAGAAATTATTACTCTCCCAGGAATAAATTCACATTTTTCTTTCCTAAGAATTTTTAAAACTGTCCATGTAACAGATGCCGGGAACATGGGGATTTGACTCGTAGTTCTTTGTTAGATCAACAGTTCCCTATACTTCTGAAGGTTAAAGAACTCAAGGAAATTTTAAATTGGTACTTGTCTTGGAATAAGATTCAAAAAATGTATTTGCTGGAGACTTTCGAAATAAAATTCATGTTTTTAAATTTGAAAACTTACTTCAAAAATTCCAAAACTCACATGAATATTTAATTAAGGTCTTTTAGAAGTTATTAAAAAGAGAACAATTATTATCATTGAAAATAGGCACTAATTATCTTTAAATGTGAAATAATTAGCACATAAATAACTGTTCAGGACTCTGCTGACTTGGCTAGAGCAAATGGTAGGCTGCACATTTATTAATTCTAATACACTTCAAGGGCATCAGTATAGCAAAACAAACAAAAATCCAGCATTTTGTACATCAAAATTACCACGGGAAAAGACAACACTCATGAACAGTTCACAATAGGCTAAGTAAGCGCCACCAGGTAGCATTCTTCATGTCTACCTAACATTTGAGATGAGACCACTCTCTTCTCTCACATAGAGGTGGACTCTGAAGACTGGATATTCATTTTCACACATCTGATACTTAAATTTAGGAAAGACAACAGCACTTGCTTTTCAAATTTAGGAAAATTCCCAATTTGCTCTCTCAACTTTTGTCTTCTTTCCACCTTCCCCATATACCTCATCTCTAACTCTGCTCTCCTAACTGAGGGATCAAATTTCATTTGCATCTGATTTGAAAATGCATATGTAAAAAGTTCAATCATGCATAAGAGATTCAGCTTCAAAAGAGATGAGTACCCCATGAACAGACATCTTCCAGAGCCCACATCCTCAGACCCCCTCAAAAGCCGTGGTTAAGAGAATCCACTGTAGAATTTGTTACCTCCCTTCAATCTAATGTGGTGCAAAAATTAGGTCATTTAGGTGAGCTTTTCTGAACCCTGAATCCACAAAGTGTGGCATTCAACACTGAAAAGAAGAGAGATGACCTGTGAATGTTTTCATCAGGCAACACAAGCTAGGATACTCAATGTTTTCATCTCCCAAAAGTTAATGAACTATGCTCAAACTATATTCATTTCTCAGTTAAAATGTAAAAGAAGGAATGTTTTTTTTCTATGATAAATCAACTCTAAGAACATCTATCCCAGGCCAGCATGTTTAATGCCAGACCCCAAAGGTATTCCGTTAGATCTTGCACAAGGATGCTATTGTCACAATTTCCAGAAGTAAGACAAAGTAAAAGGCAAGAAAATCAAATTGATGTAAGTATTGAAGAAGAGCCATAATATCATTACTTTCAAATTTTAGCTTTCTATCTGGCATAGTCCAAAGAATAGAACTGTTAAACAAAAACATCTTCCTTTAATCTAAAATAAGAGATGACAAACAGCATGTTCTCCACCAAAAGGACTAATTACTGCAAAAGTGACGATTCTCTCCAATTTTGTTCATAAATAGGAAATTTTAATTTATCAGTCCTGGTACACGGGTAAGAAACTTGTCAGAGTGATTCAAATCTCTGATGAAAGAATATATGGATAAGTATAGAAATATAGTTAAGAGGAGACTATCACTGTCATATATTCAAATATAATCCAAAACTTTAATTATTAAGATACGGGTACTAGAGCAATAGGCAGATGATCAATAAGACGTAAAAGAAAGAAGTCTTGATGCAAAGTATAAATAAGAAAACATCAAATGCAGCATGACTCTACATTGTCTTCTGGCAAAAACTTAAAGTCAGACTTAATTTTAATCTTCTTTTAATATTCAACAGGTCTAAGATAAGAAGTATGAATGGCTAATAAACCAGGGGCAGTGGGGAGGAGTTTAGTTTCAACAGTAACCAAAGAAATGAAAATTAAGGTAATCAGATACCTTGATCTATTTTCAAATTGAGGAGGAGAGAGGGATGTTGACCAGTTTGATTATTTGGGTAGTATCTATTAAAAACCTAAAAAAAAATAATTCTAGCCATTTATCCTAAGGAAACACTCAGATATATTTCAAAAGATTAGTGTACAAGAATATCTAACAGACTCGATAGAGAACTGTAGCTATGAAGAATTCCCACCACAGACTTGAATATTATACAGCCACCAAAAATTGTGCTACAGAATAATAGCTGAACACATAGAAAGGTACATCTTATAGTAGAGTATATAGAAAATGATTCTAAAAAACTGGAGGGAGGAGCACCCGGGTGGCTCAGGAGGTTAAGCATCCAACTCTTGATTTCAGCTCAGGTCCTGATCTCAGGGTCATGTGATCGAGCCCCACGTCAGGCTCTGCGCTTGGTGTGGAGTCTGCTTGAGAATCTCTCCCTCTCCTTTCGCCCCTCCCCCTACTCAAGCTCTCTCTAAAATAAATAAAATCTTGGGGAAAAAAAAAAAACCGGCGGGATGCATACAAACATGACAATAGTAATTCTCTCTGTATAATCACAAGCCATTTTATTTACTTACATCCTCAAATTTTCAACTAATTTATATTTAACACTAACATTGCTTTCATATCATTAAAAGGCTTTTAATCCATATATTGAACAATTGGATGTATCTGGCCTCTCTTGTGCACGAACTAAGGGATCATCCAACCCTGTAATCCTAAATGCAAGCACAATTTTTATGCCTGTCTCTCTGTGAAAGACAGTGAGCCATTTGATGGTAGGCTTTGTGGTCCATCTGCCTTTGTATGCTCAGCCCTTAGCACAGTGCCCAGCACAGAGAGAGCACTCAATAAATGTTGGGTGGATGAACACACAAAAGGATGAAGGAACTCATGAATTATTTAACTGCTGCAAAGGCCCAGGTCCACAGGAGAAAGTGAAAGAAGTTTAGGTGCGAATTTAAGTTTTCACCAGAAAATGTGAAGTCATGCTACACTCACCTAAGAGTTTCACTGTAAACTTCAAGCCAGATCATAGTCATCCATATTTTTTAAAGATATGAACTGTTTTATGGTTTCAGAGAAGAACGGTATAAAAAGTAGGAGTGTTGCCCCATGATTACAAAACCAGGTGAAGTTCCACGAGAAACCGGGGGAGTTACACTTTGGGAATTAGGCATTCTTTTAAGATCATTCACCACCTCTCAACTGTTCTAATTTTTGATGTCTGGGGATCATCTAATAAAATGAACTGCTTTAAGAGAAACATCCCCAAGGTCAAAGATGAGAGGAGCACAGTTACCTGAAGGCTATAGAGGAGCTGGGTTAAATTCTGTATTGCTTGTATAATCTGGAAGAGAAAATCCTAAGTGTCACATTCTTGAAAAAGCGCTCATTATCCAAAAATAAAGAGAGGATGATAATATATTTCAGGTGTGTAGAGCTCACCTCTGACTGTGAAGAAACCGGGAAGCTTCTGTATTCCACCTAAAATACGTAAAAAATAAGGAAATGAATAATTGCTCTTCTTCTGAAAAGCTGCACTTAGTGTTCCAAAATGTATGTCCTCAGGTAAATCATTTCACTCACTCTAAACTCTTCTATAGTGACCTTCTTTCTTGCCGGAAATCAAAGCCTACAGATTTAAATAACCACTTGATGAGAGCCCCATCTGTGCAAACTCTGCATTTGAGATGCATGGCAACTTTTCACCCAAACATCCCTTTTAAAAACAACAACGGATGACAGTAAGGAAGCTCTGCACTCTCTCAGTAAGTGACAATATTTACCTTGTGGAAACCACGCCGTCAACTGAGCTCTCTGTGCCCAGACTGAAGTTGGCCCCCAGGCCAGTCTGGCTCCCTGCATCCTGGAGGCCAGATTTGGAAGCTCGAGAACATCATGCCTGAGTTCTAGCTCCCCGTCTCCATGCTTAAGACTCACAAGGCCAAAATGGCCAGTGGTTGGCAGAGGAAACCCAGACCCAGGGGTGGCCCAAGGGTCAGCACTCAGCTGGCCTGCTCCAGATCCTACTGTGAGTTCACTGGAAGCATCTGTGATTGCCTTAGGAAAAGCACTCTCAGCAGAGGCCTTGAGTGGGGTTGGAGACCATCTGCTCCTGGGGGATGGTGGGGTCTATGTTTCATTCTTTGTCTCCCTAATGCAGACATTAGAGACACATGTGGACAGTGAGGATTTCCAGTTTCCAGAACTGAACTGAACACTTGTCTATTCATTTATTGCCTGTCTTCCTTCCACTAGGATATATAAGCCAACGAGTAGCAGGACTTCTTATGTGTATTCAATGCTGTATTTACAAATTTAACAATGATGCCCAGCTTCTAATGGACACTCACACTCCATTCTATAAATAAATATCGCGCACCTGTGGAGTGTACTCCACTCCTCGTGCTATGGGAGATCACCAGATTCCCTGCCTTCCTAGAGCCTACAGTCCCCTGAACGTTGCTTGCTCTTATCTGGGCAGCTTTAAATTGAAGCCACGAGAAACGGTCAGCTGTTGTAATGTTCTCAGGTAACTCCGGACTTGTTAAATTCGATTAGTTCAGGCTGGTGAAGCTTTGAGATCTCAAGACAGCAGATCCTTTCTTCCTGTCCCTCTTCCCCATACTGCCCATAAAAGATTTCTTTACTGAACAGAACCTCTAAGACAGGAAGGATGAAGGATGGAAAAGGACATGAAGTTTAGAGTCTTTAGACCTGTGCCCAGAACCACCCCCCTCCCCACCACACTGGGCTAAGAACCCCCATTCTCTAGTGAGTTCTAGAGCTCTCTCTGCTCTTCTGGTTCTGTCCCTGCTGTACAGTCCTTACCTTTGTAATAGGAAAATCCTACGCTACAGAATTTTTATACTCTATACAAATTAGAAACACAGAAATGAGTTGAATTATGCTATATGCAGTTACTTATTCCCAAGAACGGCTAAGTTTGGTACCAGACAGAAATGTTAAAGGTCCTATTTTTCATGGAGCTGGTCTGCCACCTTGTGGTGCATGCCATAATTACAGCTGGTGATTGACACACCAGGTATTTTTCCTTCTGCAGCACTTTTTAAAATTCTTTCAGAAAAATTTTTTTAACCTTACCTGATTAAAGAAGCTAATTTACAAAATACCCATCACACACTTTTTTTAAAGTTTGATTTCAGGTGATCCTACCCTATTTGTCAGTTCATTTTCTCAAATGCCTTATTAAAATTCTTCCAGATAGGTTCACCCAACAAGGGACCTACACAACCTCATTTCACTTACCTGTGACTGAATCATGGAAGGAAAAAAGACCTTAGCGGTGGGAGCCACCACGATTTCCGTTCAAGAAAAAAAACTCTTACTGACTAACCAGCCCTTCCCTTCTCCCCCTCCCTTCCTCCAGAACAAATGCAGTTAGAAGCAACAGACTGAAAAGTGAAGTCCGCACTGAAAAGGAGGAAAAAAGTAGGAACATTTTAAGAAGAAATAAGTCAGAAAGCTTACAGAGTAAGCAGAATAAAATATTGCATTCCTGTTTTCATTTTGGCCTATGAAGTTTTTTTTTTAAAAAAATACTAAATCACAGCCATATCTGCTATGGATTTTTAAAAATCTTTGGACCTGGTGTCTCAGTCATATGTAATATATACAAAAATACATAATATATAAATTATTGCGTAACTATATGAGGCATGTCATTTTTCCACATTAGCATATACTGGTATCTGGTAATGCACCTAATTTCATTTTAGATGAACTCTTGAGCCCCAGACAACCCCGGGGAGGGCAACTAGCCACCTCCCAGAATCATATTCTTATTCCCAATTTCTGACATCCCAGGTTCATTGGAAGTAAAGAGGAAGTTTCCTGCATTTAGTTTTTCAAAGAGTGTCACAACCTACGTGTAAAACTATGTCAAAAAGAAAAAAAAAGGCATTTGGAACCCCTTTGCCCCAAGCAAAAATTGGTCAGGTTGATTAAAAGTCTCACAAAAAACGTAGGTGATCATGTGGGTGGAGAGGGAAACAATCTGAAATGAGAGGAAGATAAAAGAAAGTGAAAGCAGCAACAGGGGTCCAAGTCATTGGACCAACGTTATTTCTGCCACTTGAGCGCCACCTGGTGGCCCTAGGGACACCACCGGATGCCACGACCGCCTCGTGGCCAAGCGCTAAGTGGAGCTAGTGACAAGCTAGAGCTTTGCAGGGAGGAAAGCAGAAGCGAGACCAGAAGGAAGAGTGCGCAGACACACAAACATTCGAGTTTTAAATCCTTTTAATTAATAACTTTGAAATCGTTTCTTTGTTTACACCTGCATGATATAGGCCGAGCAAGAACATTTTGAGAAAATTTAGGTTAGAGAGGTTAGAGTGTGGAAATTGAGAACAATTGAGGAAAACACTTGCATACCACTCACTGCCACGGACAGACCAGGACCTGAGGTTATGCTACTACACAAAGTAACGGGTGCCATTTACTAACGAATCAGTTCACAATACCTTCTCCCCTGCATCAGAGACCGCCAAGCCGGTTCCCACACCCTGGGTGCCAGGGTCCACATCCCAACAGCCTCTTCCTCCTGTCCCTTCTGTGACTAGTGCTGGAAGCACACCAGTGAGACAGAAACAGAAAGGACATCATCAAACATCAGCCAGCGCACGGGGTTCTCGCGTACACAGCTGACGCGCGTTTCAAAATAAGAAACACACAAACACACACATTACATACCCTCATTCGAGGGGCCAAAACAGTGCAAAGCACAGAGTCCCTGCCCTCAGGGAGCTTACATGCTAAGAGATACCAAACTGACAAATGGCATCAATTACCACCCATCTCTTAAGTTTTCTTTCTTGCAGAGAGGTGCTCATGTGATGTTGGTGATACCGAGAGGGTGCGTTCTACATCTCACTTGTGCTTACTAGGAAAAAGCCACCACAGAGAAGGAAATCGAAAACTGGCACAGTACAACGAAAGCAGGGGCTGGTCGACCCAGGTCTGAGGAGACAGCTTGGTGATAGGCTCCTTGGTGGCCCATGTAAGAGCAGCAGACCATAAACAAGGTTTACAAGGAGGAATCCAACAATGGGAGGGAGACATCTTTCTAAGCAGGGTCAAGATGGCTAATACTTCATGAGCTCACAGTCGTACAAATAGGAACCTGTCCCTGTCTCCAAATAACTTTTTAAAAACAATTTCCAAGTGTTTTTTTTCTCACAATACTTGCTTATACTCTAGACTCACAACTGTAAATACTGTATATTTAACCTATGAAACAGAAATATTTCTAAATCCAGAAATATTCTTAAGAAACACAGATTTCACTCCATCCATTAAATCTCTGCTGGGGCGATTTTATTTCTTTGCCCCTGTGAACTCAGTTAAAACTTACACTATGCTCACCTTACACTGACTTAAAGTAGACTTTCACACACAGACTTACACTGGAACCATGTCCAAACGGGGCCCTGGCGAAATACTCACTTTGTGACACACAGTGCCATCTTGAAACTTTATTACTGAGGGAGGAAATACTTTTTCTCCTTCTCTAAATGAAAGTCCTCTAGGACTCCAAAAGCTACCTCTATTACAAAGAATTTTTTGTTTAAGTGGAAACTGCTTCAAACTATATCAGCTAAAAATTAAGTTCATTTTGCCCAAGGCGGTCAAATGCTTTTCACTCATAGTGAAGGGACATTTTATAGAAATTTATCTGCCACTCAAAAAATGGTTTCACTACTGGGCATTATACTTACTTCTTAGAGAGATACCCAAGGCATTACCAAAGAATTAGCCATTCTTTCCCTCTCCCTCTCCCTCCTCCCTACTGCATGGCAATAAGGACCATCAAATGGGCAAGAAGCTGATGGTGAGACAGGTAAGCAGGCTCCTCTGCTCCTTATTCAGTTTCAGATCTCCAGAATTCTCTAAGGAGTAGATTATATTCATCCATCTGATTAGGTATATTGAGGACTAAAAAAGAGAAGGCCTTGCTTGGTCTATGACTTCAGATCATCATGGGCTTGACTTAGAAGGACCCAGTCCTGAAAGTGCAACAAAGAACTGACCCAGTCAGTGACAGGTCCTCATTTAGGAATAGTATTTTGCGCCCACCAACCTTATAAAGAGAATCCAATTCTTGTAGCACCAGGCTCCAATCCAGCCCAGCAACGAAGAGGTCTTTGGGGGGGGGGGGTACAGAACCCTGCCAACCTGCCCCTGGCCCTTCCCTACATGAATCCTGGTATCAGGGCACTGTAAACAGCCTCTCGACGGTTTTCACAGATGCCACGGGTGTCCCTGGGCCCTGTCCCCAGTCATGGGAGATACGGGTACAGACAGGGAAAACCTTCGTTGCCTGATCTCGAGGGAGGGAAGGTGCAGCCTCGTGCTCTGAGCAGCTGCGGGAGCCGCGTGGAGCCTCCCCAGCTGTCCCCAGGGCGAGGCTGAGAGCAACAGATCGCTCCACGTATTTTTAGATGGAACTCCCTCAATGGCATAATGAGTTTCTTCTTTTAGAAGGAAATCACCCAGGGCAGTACAACTCCCCTGATGAATCTGGGCTGTGTCAAAATGAAAAACATATGTGCATTTTCTGAAAATAGAAATGCAGGACTGGATCAAGCAAAATTTGAGAGGACAAAATAATTATTAGTGCTGATCTCAAAAAAAGTCCAGAGTTTTAAAACGGTACTGCCTCCATGTATTTTAATTAACCCAGGGATGTTGTTAAAGAAATTCAGAGACAATTTAATCCTCCACAATCTCTAGCTATTAATGGGGGCACATTTTGTCTTGTGCATAATGAGGCCTGGTGGAAATAAGGTTTTCATCACCCAAATACAATGAGAAATACGCTCTTTATATAAGCTCTTAACTCAGACACCTGTAGGGAATGACATATTCCGCTCACACATATAACAGCATCATTAGGCTCTGAGAAATCACCTAATTCTCTACATGACATTTTTCTGTATGTAAAATATATTGAAACAGTGCCTTTAATGAATGAATCCTGACCTGAACTGAAGCATACGGTGACAAAGATCAAGGATTTTTTGGCACTTCTGCCCTTAACCACACCACCAAACCGTGTGTCTGTGGGAATGTGTTAGATTCTAGCTTTCTGGGTTACGTTTGCTCAGTGGATGCCTCAGAGATTAAGTCTAAGGACTTGTTCTTCTGTGAACTGCAGGGATCCATTTTCAAAAAAAACCCCAAAGTTTAAAAGTTATTTCACAACCATATTCCAAATTGTATTCCATAAATCTTATCAAAACTGAGACAGGGTCAGGTTTGGAGAAGGTAACAAAGCTGGCTTGGGTAAGAGACCAACACAACCCACCAACTATTCTTGAAATCCTTGTCCTCGGAACAGCAGTGTCATTATCATATGTAAGTTAGGCTAGCATACTGATTCTCAGGTTTTCTCCAAATTAAAAAATACATTGTCTCCTCCAAAGAGGGACAGAGTCATTGCCTTCATTTCATCTGACCACTGTATGTTCCAGAGATTGTGCTCAGGCTCACTGCAGAGGCCTGAACTTTCACTTACAAGCTGGAGACGATCCTGGCTCTTCGGGGGCCCTGCGCATATCCATCAAGGCAGATTCTCCAGAACCTTCCCCGGGTGACTGACAGGCATCGCCCATTTGTGAGGCCTTCACTGCAACTTGGAGGCTCTCAGCTTAGAAGAAAGAAGAAAGAATACAAAATTTAAAAACCAAATATACATAGTTTAATCTAGATCAAAGGTTGGCAAACTCTCTCTGGCCTGTGTCTGGTTTTATATGGCCCAGGAGCTAAAAATGGTTTTTACATTTTAAAGAGTTGTTAAAATATACACACAGGCACCCACACATGCACAAAGAAGAATGTGTCCCAGAAATTGTATGTGGCCTGCAAAGCCTGAAATATTTACTATCTGGCTCTTTAGAGAAAAAAGTTTGCCAACCTGCAATCTAGACCAATACTTTAAACATCATTTTATGAAAGAAAATTAATAAAAAGATGTACTGTATAAAAAAAAATCTCAAATTTAACTTTCAGTACATTGGTCTGCTGAAAAACTTTCTGTAATTCAATTAATTTAAATATGATTTTAGGCATAAAGATTTTAAAACGTACTGCTCAGAAATATTAGCTATTCTTCGAAAGAGAATTTCCCCAACTGTGCCTTAAAAAATATAGATTCCCAATCCTTACCTACACCTACTAGATCACATTCTCCAAGGGAAAAGACAAGGAATTTGCATTTAAACAAGCACCAAAGGCCACTCTTAGGATCTGGTAAGATTGGTAAACACCACACCAAGAAAGTTGTGTTTTTATTTATAATAAATGCATTCAATGTGGAATGACATAATTTTGAGGGCCCTACAAATATTTCTAAAACACTATGTCCACTGTTTGAATCTAGCAAATACTCATTGAGCACCTACTCTGTTCCAGGGGGTCCCTGGGCATCTGTAACTCATCAGGGGAGTCTGCAGACTGGAGGAGGAAAACACAACATACACGTAACTATACACATGGGAGCACGTGATCAGGGTTAAGTTCGATCCTCCAGTTCTCAGAGCATCATAAAATGCTCCAGCTGTACCATGGAGCAAGACAGTTATATTCGCCGGTGGGACTAGGAAAAAGTTCTTAAAAGAGATGAAAGGTGAGCAGAATCTTGAAGGATGAATGGGATCAAGACACAGAGACAGAAGAGGAGAAAGGAAAGCAGAAAAGCAGTCCAGTAGAGCAAGGACCCAGGGAGACCATTCAAGGTGCGTTACTCAACTATTTATTTTTTTCCCCAAACATAATGACCTCACCCTGATTAAGAATTCCTGCTAGATCTCTGAGTCCTGATCATCAATGACTCTGGGTGGATCAGGTTGTACCTTAACTGCTCCGTGTTCTCTTGAGCAGCTGGGTCCCCTGCTGGTCCCCAGTACTGACATCACATGATGGGCCAGAGGAATTAAAGCAGAGGGATGTAAACTGGGCATCGATGACAGTTTTGAGGGCGGGGGAGTAGGGTGGGGAGGGAGTGAAAGCCACTGGCTAAAATGGAGAGGGGGGTGACTTACTCAACAGAGATATTATCAAGGCCAGTGAGAAGGTCACTGGTTCTCATCAACCCATTCAGAAGTACTTCTAGCTTTATTTCTAAAATATACCTTGCACCCGTCCACTTCCCTCTACTTCCATTGCCAACATTCCTGGGTCCAGACCAAAGCCCCAACACCCCCATCAGTGTGCGTAACTGCCAACCACCCATCTCCAGGCAAACTGGTCTCCGTCCACTCTGCTCTATTCTCCAGACCTAGGATGGGGCCACACCCCTGGTTAACAGCACCCATAACTTTCCATCAATTTTGGAATAAAATCTCTATTTTTTTAACCAGAGCCTGCAAAGACCTCTCTCTGCCCACACACACAGCCTCACCTCACACGCTTCCTTGACTGTTGCCACCCCACCTTCCTTCTTCCCTTGAGCATGCCAGGCTCACTCCACAGACAAGGGCATCGTACTCACTTTCTCCCTGGAATAGTCCCCCCCTGGATCCCCAGACAGCTGGCTTCTTCTCATCTTTCAATTCTCATCTCAAAAAATCATCTATCTCCCCAGAGAGGTTTTCCCTGACTTCTCTAAAGCAAAGCCTTCACCTCAGCCCAATCTTATTTTCTTGTGACCTTTGTGAAATTATTTTGTTTCCTTGCATATTGTCAGTCTTCCTCCACTATAAGTTTTTATTTCCCTCTTTTTTTTTTCATTTAAGTGCAATTGACACACAATGTTACATTTGTTTCAGGTGTACAAGGTAGTGATTTCACAAGTCTATACATTACGCTGTGCTCACCACGCGTGTGTAGCTACCATCTGTCACCATGCAATGTTATATGGTATCATGAACTATATTCCCTATGCTGTACCTTTTATCCTGGTGACTTATTCATTCCATAACTGGCAGCCTGTACCCCATTACAAGTTATAAAAAGTATTAACTCTTTCCTTAGCACCAACAGCAGAGCACAGGGTAGATGCTCAATTAATACTGAATGAATGAATGAAAATGAATGATTCCACCAGTGGACCCCACGTCAGACATCCTCTATGCCCTTCTTAAGACCTCGGTTTCCTTATCAAATAAAGATCATAGAATGCCATGATTTCTAAACTTTCCTCCAGAGCTGATGTTCCAAGATTCTGAGCCTGAGCTTGGCAAACTTTGTCTACAAGGGACCAAGATCGTAAATAGTTTAGGCTCTGTGGGTCACCTGGTCTCATTGCAGCTATTCATCCTCACCAGTGTTGCAAGAAAGCAGCCACACATAATAGGTAGACAAGCGGGGGTGGCTGTGTTGCAATAAAACTGTATTCACAAAAACAGGTGGTAGGACACATTTAGTCCATGGTCTGGAATCTACAAAACCTTGTCTGCATTCCCTGCCACTCTCTCAGGTGGTGGCTGTTTTCTCTCTCAAACCCATTGGCCCTACTGTCACTTCGAAACTATTATTCCTACCACCCCAACCCCTCTTTTCCCTTTAATTTCGTGCCATCAGATGATACCACTCACTACCCCTCCTTGTTGCCATCCATCTACAGATTCCTTGAACAACTTAGCATCTGGTGCAAGTTCTCTCCCTTCCCCGAATGCTACTCCTGTCAAATTCTCAGGAATTGCCATTTTTATGAACCTAGTCCTTCCAATACCTTGGCCACGTGTCTACTTGACTTCCTCATTTCCCCAATGATCTTATCCTTCACCCTACCTCAGCCACCAACTCCCAAGGTTGTACCCTAAACTTTATTATTACCAATATTTGCACTTTGCCCCCTTATATAGTCTATTCTCCACACAGCAGTCAGAGGGCTCCTTTTAGAACACACATGATGTCACTCTGCTACTCAAACCCTATAATACTTCCCACAGTGACCCTCAGAATGAAAGCCAAGCTCCTTACTCACCTCAGTCAGGTCCATGTAATGTGAGTGGTAGTTGGCTCTGACTCATCTGCCACTCCACACCCCTCCCTTCACGCTACCTGCAAGGTCCTCCTTGCTATCCCTCGAGCTTGGCATGCACCTGCCTGGGAACCTTTGCATCTTCTGTTCTCTGTGTCTGGAACTTTTTTTTTTTGTTATGTTAATCACCATACATTACATCATTCGTTTTTGATGTAGTGTTCCATGATTCTTTGTTTGTGCATAACACCCAGGGCTCCACGCAGAACGTGCCCTCTTTAATACCCGTCACCAGGCTAACCCATCCCCCTACCCCCTCCCCTCTAGAACCCTCAGTTTGTTTTTCAGAGTCCATCGTCTCTCATGGTTCGTCTCCCCCTCCAACCCACCCCCCTTCATTCTTCCTCTCCTGCCATCTTCCTCTTTTTCTTTTTTGTTTCAGAGGTACAGATCTGTGATTCATCAGTCTTACACAATTCACAGCGCTCACCATAGCACATACCCTCCCCAATGTCTATCACCCAGCCACCCCATCCCTCCCACCCCCCACCACTCCAGCAACCCTCAGTTTGTTTCCTGAGACTAAGAATCCCTCGTATCAGTGAGGTCATGTGGCTGGAACACTCTTCCCCCAGATATCTACTTGGTTTTTTCGCTTCCCTGTATCTGCTTACACATCACCTTATCAAAGAGGCCTTTCCTTGTTACCGTAACTCAAATACAACCTCCCCACTCTATCCCTCTCTTCATTCCCTATCCTGTTTATCATTTGTTTTTGGTTTTGTTTTTTAAAGATTTATTTTACAGAGAGAGAGAAAGAGAGAGAGCGCGCACACAAGCGTGTGGTGGGGAGGGGTGGAGGGAGAAGGAGAGAATCGCAAGCAGACTCCCTGCTGAGCAGGGAGCCCAACCCGGGGCTCGATCTCAGGACCCTGAGATCATGACCTGAGCCGAAATCAAGAGTCAGATGTTTAACCGACTGAGCCACCCTGGTGCCCCTGTTTCTTTTTTTAAGTAGGGTTCAGACTTTATTAAAATCTTCACTGAAGCAACTGTCCTCCTCTATGGTTTTCCAAATAAAATGTCTTTATTGTTTTCTTATTGAAACATAATTAACATAGTTATATTAGTTTCAGGCATACAATATAGTGATTCAACAATTCTATGTATTACTCCAGGCTCATCATGATAAGTGTACTCTTAATCCCCATCACCTATTTCACCCAAACCCCCACCCACCTCCCCTCTGGCAACCAACCATTTGTTCTCTGTATTTAAGAGTCCTTTTTGGGTTTTTCTCTTTTTTGATTTGTTCATTTGTTTCCTAAATTCCATATATGAGTGAAATCATATGGTATTTGTCTTTCTCTGTCTGATTTATTTCACTTAGCGTTACACCCTCTAGGTCCATCCATGTCGCTGCAAATGGCCAGATCTCATTCCTTTTGATGGCTGAGTGAGATTCTACTGTATATGTACACCACTTCTTCTTTATCCATTCATCTATTGAGGGACACTTTGTCTTCATAGTACTTGACACAACCTGACACATCTATTTCCTTTCATTTTGCAATTTCTGGAATATGAATTGTAGCACAGTTGGAACACTGTCTTATTTTGCTATATCCTGAGCACTAAAACCACAGGGTATGGCACACAGGAGGTACTCAAACATTTTCTGAACTTGTTAAACCAAACAGTTTTGGAAGCAACTTACCTTCTTTCAGTGCTGCTGCTAGTAATGAGGCTGCCTGGGGAGGCTCTCCTGGGTCAGGTTTAATGAGGAGGTGGGGCTCTAGATGCACATCCTCAAATCCACTCAATTCTCCAAGTTCAGCATAGATATGCAGCTTCTCCTCCAAATATGTGCAAATTTGTTGGTCTTGGTTACTGAGTATTTCTATGAAATAGTATTTACCATGGAAGGTTATCAGATGAATACAGCAACTATATGAAAATCCAAGCTCTAAGATAAAGATGTTCCTCATCAGCAAGCAGTATGGTCTCACAGGTCAAGTACAAGTTATTGGGGGGCCAGAACCAGGTTCAAATCCTAATTATTCCACTTAGTTACTATAGCCCCAGCAAAGGACTTAACAACTCTGAGCTTCCATTGTCTTTTCTGAGCATTTACTGTACTCAGATGTTCGTTTCCTTTCCCATGCCCCTAATTCCAGAAAAACTTGCACAACTATTCGTTGTTCAGGCTGTTTTCTATTAAGACTAAACACTAAGCTCAGGAATGAAAATTGAGGTGGCACTGTTCATGATGACTGATACCCACAAGGGAAAACAATGTAAAAGCCCGAAGCTACTCAGGCTTCAGCCCATCTTGGTTAAAACCAAACCTACTAGTTTATGTTTTTGTTTCTAAACATCCAATTTCTTTGACCAACTTTTCACGCATCATTTTTCTCCGATTCCAACACAACACATGATTCCTCCAGTTTAAAGGGACCTCAACCAGCATCTAATCCAGGGGTTCTCAGTCTGCTCCAGTATCACCTGAAAGAGTTTTAAATACTGACATCCACAACCACCTTCCATAGATTCTGAGTGAAGTGGTTGAGCGTAGGGCCCAGGCATCAGAATTTTTACAAAACTCCCGAGTAATTCTGATGTCCAGCCAGAGATGAGACTCACTGAGCTAATCTAATTGCCTTAGTTCAAGGACTTGGAAACTGACGACCAGAGTTAATGGGTTCCTTGTCCAAAGTCACACCACTGCAACCTGACAGGGCCGGGACCCAAAATGACACCACTGGACAATGACTCCAATGCACAGCTACACCACACTGCCCACAGCCCTTGTTTTGTATATATTATGTGCCTATTTTTTTTGAAAATTTGTTATGTATTTTAAATCACTAAGGAGGAAGGTGGGGGGGGCATAACCTCCCACTCATGACACATGGGCTTTCCCAGCATCCAAGGAGAACAGCACAGCCAGGGGATCAGAGATGTCTGCACGGTACCTTGACATTGCTGAATTTTGGCCACTCTTGCTTCAGCTTTCCGCCTCTCTTCATCAGATTCGCTTGTCCTTCCCCCTTCTTCTTCTGGGCAACTTTAAGAGACAATAGTCAAGACAGACAACTGAAACCAAATCCAAATATCTTTAGGTTCATTAGAAAGACATGGGGACTTGGCGGCGGCATTATTCATAGAAGAGAAATTCAGCATAAAGAGAATTGTTCATGCCCTCTAGCCAAGGTATCTGGTTTTCCTGAGTATACAAAGGACATTACACAATATGACATAGCTCTCAGAGTCAGAAGTACAGGATGACTCAAAAATTCCGACAAACACATATACACAAACATACACTCAAGTACACATGTACCCACACCCCCACACCCGACACTCAACACTAGCATTAGGTCCAACTAAAATACTAAGTTTTGCTCTCTACTACATGTGGGTACTTCTTAATGGGACGGACAGAGGAGAGGGAGTTGGAGGGGTTGGAGGGTTCAGAGGGTAGGGTGCCAGGTTGGGTGTGGTGCAGTAGAGGTGGAAGAATTTTATAAAACATCATTCAAGATCGATCTAATCAAATTACCATGAAGAATGATCACCCTCACCCCGTCTCGTTTATAAAAACTTATAAAACCACAAGTAATGAGAAGTAAATTGACTTAGAACACTTAGATCCTCCAATCAAAAAATGTTTATTGAATGATTCTTCAGAATTAGCCACAAAGAGAAACAAAAGGCAAAGCCCCTGCCCTCAAGGAGCTTCCAATCTAATAAACATATATACACAGAAAAGGTAATAGCTACAAGGTGGTTTATGACAAGCACCGAGTCAATGCTTTAGAGAGCAGATGATAAAGAATTTCAGGTAAGGAAGAGACCACTGGAACTGAAGAGGTCTTCGTGAAGGAGGGAAGCCAGGAGCTGCACCAAAGATGAGCAGGAGTCACACGAGTAGAGGGGAGGTAGGGCTTTGCATGCAGGGAGGTGCAGAGAACAAAGCTGCAGGTGAGAGGCTATCAGAGGCGGGTGCAGGGGGCGGGGAGCAGACCCGTCTGGCTGAAGCAAAGTGTTCATGCAGAGGAAACATGGTTAGAATACTCTCCCAGCTGAACAAGTGCATTCCCTAGAGTGTGGACAGAAGGAAATGTTACCTTTCTACTGCCTGTTGGATTCGTCTCATCCAGTTATTTCGTTCCTCCTTGGAGTTGGTATGAATTTCATACATCTCAGGACCAGCAGATGAAGCACTGATTAGAAACATGCCTCTTTCCTCATTAGCAACTTCTCTAGCAATAAGCTTCTGAAGGGAAATAACTGATGGCTTCTGATCCTACACAAAATAGGAAGATGTTCAGGTAAAACAGCATCCTACCAAAACCAAACGTCTCACCAAACACACTGGCTAAGGAACACAAGAGTATTAGGTAAATCATTTCACTTCAGCCTCTCCAAAGGACTCTGAAAGTTGCTAAGATCTCCAATGGAAAGGGCACGGTGAAGAGAGGATGGAGAAAAAGGGTACAGGAGAATGTTTGTCCTTAAGAATGAGTGGCTTAAAAGGACAACTTTTAAAAAGAACAATCAGAGCAGTAAGAATATCAAAATGCCATAGCCCAGGGCTTGGGGGCTTTTCTAGAAGGGCATGGGATAGAAAATAACATCTCAAACATCACAAGGAGACTGAGAGGGGTGTGAGACCTAAGAGACCATCGGATTTAGCAGGATTTAGGGCAGACTGTGAAAATGACAGAGGGGGGGGGGCATGACCTCAGCTTCCCTGAGCGTAACGAGCGTCTTCTGCTACCGTAGGACAGAGCACAGTGACTGAACTTCTGTGGTTCTGCCTGTGAACGCCTCTTCTTCCCACCACATGAGCCTCTGGTGGGCAGGAAGGGCTCTGATTCATCCGTGTATGCCTAGCACATCGCTTTGCATAGAGTAGGCTTTCAATAAATGTCTGTAGAAATGGATTTAGTGTAATTCCATCAGAGCAGAACAGGAAGAAAAGCTAACATCCGGCATACAGGCCCTGACTAAATCACCTCTTCTACGCACGTTTACTGCCATCTTTCAGGGTCCCATTCTAAGCACTGGGGATTCAATGATGAGTAAGAGAATACTACTAATTTGGGTTGGGAGCCATAGTTGAAATCATAACCAAAAGAAGGCCTGCAGGAGATAAACAGCTTTGGGGGGCTAAGTATGAAGAATTTTCTTTGGTTTGTGGCTTTCATCACTGTTTAGAGTCAGTAGCAGTGCGTGGTTTGGCTTCTCCTTCTTGGACTGAGTGATCCCTGGACCCAGAACACGCCACGACATCCCGCGTGGCTGACTCCTTAGTGCTAATCTGTCTGCTTGCCCAGCCTCACACAGCTATGCCACATCTAAGTTGTGTGCAGGGGTACCTAGAATACCTCTTCAGCCCATTCTTCTCCGAGCAGCAAAAAACAAAAACCAAAAAACGACAAGTTTTTGAATACTGCCCTCTCTAATTAGGGCGAGCGCCTGAGCACTATGAATATCCTTCATTCAGTCATGGATATACTATCCAAGACCTCATTTGCTTTCCTTCTTTCAGGCTCCTCAGCTTACAAGGTAAATGGCCTCTGTAATATAAAAGGCAAAGTAGGTTTAAATTGCTTCAGACATTAGCAAGGATGAAATTATCTGAACCAGTTGGCTAGTGCTGCAGAAGGAGGGGAGGTGGTAAGGTCAGATATTTTTTAACTGAAAAAGAGATAAGCAGGTAGAAAGTAGCATTAATTAAATCACCATCAGATGAGGAGACAACAGGGGCATGTCCATCATTATTCATATTAATCACACAAGAACACTAGAGATGATCAAGAGTTTAAATTAAACTTCTAGGAATGGAAGCAATGGGTCTACCTTAGAAACAGATGTTAAAAAGTGGTCATGCCAAGGCCCAACCCAGCCTGCAGGGGTGTTTGCTTGTGCCACAGTATTTTAAAAACAGATTTCTTTTTAACAGTCACCAACATTTAAAAACTGGGGGATTTCTCCTTTAAGAAAAAAAACAACAACAAACCAGTAGATGTAGGGGTTCTTGGAAAAAGCAGACTGGCAATCCTGGGCCCATGTACTCATGGGAACACCCGGGCTGTCGCTGAGTAATCCCTGCCCTCCGGGAGACAGGCCATGTTCTTACCAGGTCACTATAGTCTCTAGCACTCACTATGGGATCCTGGATCCCGAGCACACTCCCAGTTCCCTCCTATATGTTTCCTGCCAAACCCTTGAGGCAGGCTGACAGCTTCTGCCCCGGGGGAAGAGGAAAAGGAGCTGCTACATTCAGCCCTGTTGTACATTAACCCCGTCTCCATTTGGGATTCCACGGAGTGGCCGAGTCTTCTAGTAATGCCATTCAAAGTCCCACTGTGATCGCTTCCTGTCTTGAACGTGAACTTGCACATCTCCATGTTCCCTTGTCTTTTTTTATTGTTCATTTAGAAATTACCTTCTCTAATGTTTAAGAGATCCTCCTAGACTCAGTAATCCAGGATTTAATGAATTTATTTTTTTCCTATTCATTTCATAGATTTGGGTCCTACTCCCATTTCTAGCTGAGTCCTCTTTAAAAGCAAAATTCTCTTGTAGGGACTCCATTTTTCTGCGGCTCGTCTTCTGGCCATGTCCAAATTCATCACGTCTTTTGGAACATGTAGCAAGTTAAGCATTTCCTAAAGAGGTTTTTCTTTCTTTCTTTCTTTCTTTTTTTCTAAAGAGGTTTTTCTAACAGCACGAAGAGCAGAGAAACTTACCTGTGGGTATTAGCATCAAGCTAGCTTTCTCCAATGCCAAGGTGAGAACCAGGAAATCCAGACATTTGTATGACCCTAGCTAATACAGCAATTCCCTCAAGCAATTCCCTCGAGCTAATATAGCAATTCCCTCAACAGAGCGTAAATAAGATATTTATGACTGGAGGGCTATGCTAACTAAATGTCTATGATGCAACTCAAATGCATATGCCTGAACAGTACAGTGCCCTTGAGTCCTTAAGGATAATGCTTTCTATTTTGCTCCCTGACATGGAGAAGGGCTTGGCTGGCTTTTATGAAAGCTGCTGTGTATCAGGCTAGCAACTCCATGAAACAGTATCCACACCATCTTACTGTTGTCCAGAGCCAAACCCCTCCTCCTGAGAGGAGCAAAGCTGCGGCTGCCTTTGTTCTGGCATTTGGTGGACTGCACTCCTAACATCCCATTTAATTGCAAGCGTAGTCTAAGGCAGGCACAGATAACTCTGGAAGAGGTCACATAGGAGGGACAGATCCATATTTCAAGTAGTAACTATAAAGTGAGCATCACACCTTCCTCTCAATCCATATGCTCTGTTGTCCTAGAAAATAAGATAGTTGTCTTTCTGTGTCTAAAATCTTTGACCCATCAGCAGGTCATCTTGGCCCGTATTAACACCCAAGAAGGCACAACTGGTTTCTCTTTCAGCTCTCTGGTTTTGACCAAACGTTTGTTTCTATAAAGGTGTGGTGTGAATTTGTTTTCTCTTCTAGCATGGTCCTCGCCTCCCACAGGACAAACAAAATGGTTCCACCTTCCTACTTACTTTCTCTCTATTCACAGCATCTCAGATAATAGCACAGAGAGACTGCTTGACAAATCAGTGGCTTGTCATGAAATCTGCAATATATAATATATACAATTCAAATGTATCAGAGCCACAGGGGCTTGTCTAAGGCCTCTTGCTATCCTCTGGAGCAGCTTTGTGAAGCAATCTCTGACCTTTATACAACCTGGCATCAGTGTGCTGATGAAACCAACATGCTTAACAAGGTGAAGAAGCCTACTGGGCCAACCTGACAAGCACAGGTGGACAGGTGAGGCACTCCACCGACCTCTTCCTCCCCCAAATCCACCCGTGGGCAGGCATGCTTCTCTGTTTTCTCTGAACTGGCGTAACAAAAACTTCATTAAGCTCTGAAGGTGCTAAAACCAGTTGGAATTGATAACATCTACTAGTGGTTCCCAAATGTCCAATCTGCCAATGGATGATAAATAAGAACCATTTTAGAGAGCCACCATTATAATGCCCACATTGGTACTGCATCTTGGATTCTTTCCTTTAACAGGGCCTAATGCTCCATGAGGCTGACGAAGTTAATTGATGACATCTTCCTTCTTTAAGTGAGTCATTTTGGACCGCAAGATGCTGGGTAAAAAATGTTATAAAACACTGGTTTTACTTCTAGTCTAACTCTATGCCAGCCATGAGATTAATGTAACACACTATAAAGATAAATTTTACATGAATAATCTTAGTAATTAGTAGTCATTATAGTAGAAACAAAATCTCCTTTAAACTTTAGATACCACAATGATGTTCTCTTGTTTGGCAGAAGGAATATCATGATAGTTATGAATGGGGCTAGCTACAGGTACAGCAGGGAAGGACCAATGGAAACAGAACAAGATCCTGGAAAAGACCTGCTGTTCCCAGCATTAAACATTTGAGTGGCTGGGAAGGCATGGTCAAGAAGCGGGTGGGAGAGATCTGGAAGATATACCAAGATGGCCAGAGGACAGCGAGTCACTTGAGGGACTTCGGCAAGTGCTGTCCACCAACCAGTCCCAAGGTACTTCAGTATCTTTACATTAACAATTGACAATTAAATTAGCAATTAACAACTGAATTAGCTGACTACCACTCCTGGCTATAAATCAACACTTTTCACACTTGCTAAACCAAATGAGAAGCTTCTTACTGAACACTGCAATCACCAATACTAATGGAAATATAAGGGGTATACTCTTGCCAATGGCTACTTAATTTCACAAGGACTTTCAGGCATTCTTCAAAGATATGTGGGACTCAACTATTTAAAATATGCATCACATGGCCGTATACTTACAACAGCAGCAAAGATATATTTCTGATCTTTTTCTTGTAAAAAGAGCAGCACGTCAGTTAGAAGTAGAGCCAGGATATCTTCAAAGAAAAGATATTACTAGTATTAATGAAGTAAACCACAGTTCAAATGCCTTTATCAAATATTCTGATTTTATGGTGGAAACTTAAATCAATTTATTAAAAATAAGAAGACTCAGATTTAGTCTAATTATGGAACTTTTATAAAAATGTCTGTATTTATGATAGCCAAAGAGAAACTCTACTCTTAAACACAGATTAGCTGTGTTTAAGCATGCATGTTTGTGTTACTCTAGGTTATCACTAAATCTCCAGCAACATTTAATACTGGAGCTTTCAAAATGGAAAAGAAATATCCAACAAACAAAGGTTCTAATAGAATGGAGCAAACACTTACCTTTAGAAAAAGAACCTTAATCATAATGTTAGAGGGCAGCTTCTGCCTTGAATTATGTACACAAATCTGTTGAATCATTCCATCTAGACCTGAGCAGCGTTTGCGATCCAATACGGCACCCCCAAATTGTTCACAGGAACCCATCTCTACTAGCCAACTAAACATTCTAACAGAGTTAGCAAACTGCTGATGTGATGAAATGGACCAAGAGCAGAGGACTTGTAGCACTGGGGTCTACAGACTGCTTAATAATTTAGCTTGGTTAATGTTCTAACTGCGGTTCATGTTTAATTGCAACATTGCTGATCAACAAATCCCATTTCAGTCATTAGCCGCAAACACCATGAAAGTTACCTTGGAGTTACCTTGGAGTAACTAGTTACCTTGGAGTAACTAAAACAACCTCTCCCTCTCACTTAATCTGAGGAAGTTATTAAGATACATTAAAAACAGGGAGAGCAGACTGGTGGTTCTTAATCCTGGCTGCACAGCAGACTCACGTGGGGGCCTTTAAGCATTCCTATGCTTGGTGTTCATCCCCAGACCAATAAAATCAGAATCTCTGGGAGAAGACTTGAACATCGGTAATTTTTTTAAGCTCCCAAGGTGATTCTATAGTGTGTGATCAGAGCTGAGAAAGCCTGGATCGACCAAGATGCTACCTACCGAATCAGTCCTTTAGAACTGAATAAATGGTTTTAGACTCTAACTAGATTAACAGAGCCAGTTTAATGCCAGTTAATGCCAAACAGTAGCACTGAGGAAGAGTTTGTACCACTGCGAGCATGTGTATTTCTGCATCTTATTACTCAGTAAGAAATTCAACATTCGGAGCTCATTTCTCCCCTCACGGGTGTGACAGCCCCCAGCTGGCTTGGCGCATAGACTCTAGGTGTGTAGGCGTACTGCCTCATTCTCAACACACTACATTTGCCAGAGTGATATTTCCGTGCCAACAATTAGCAGAATTCTCAGCTCCTTTGACTCCAATATCCCAAATTGCAAATTCATAAAATGTATATGAAGGTTTTCACTTGGGGCAGTAAAGATTTGTAGCATTTGCCTATTGAAGTTCACGACTTGATTCTTTCCCACTTCCCCAGGGGTTGTGTGTGTGCCTGCCATCTCCGAACCACTCTTCTTTTGAAAATCTGTCCTGTTAAATGAGTAACATATGTCAAAGGAGGAGAAATAATACCTTTGAATCGACCTGTAGCAGTTTTCCAGTAAACAAGGCCATCATGTAAGAGAGTCCTTTCTTTACTTATCAGTGCTTGCTTCCTAAACACATGGCCATTTTTGAGCTTTGTGTAGGTTTTGTTTTCGATCTTATTTAGGATCTCAAGCCATTTTTGATTTTTCTCATACTCGCTGACTTTTAAATCCACTGCTGCAATCATGTCTTTAATTAAGCACAGAGCTTTGCACAAGTCTTTATGTTCTTCACTTCTTTCTGCATGGGAAAAAGAAAGAACACTATAGAATAAGCCAGAGTGCTGAGGAAGAATTTTTTTTTTAGGTTTAAATGCAATTAAAGTCATACAAAGAGCAAAAATCACACAACAAAAATGTTGGATTAGGTTCAAATACCTTATTATCACTCTGCGTCCTTTCTCCCCAAAAAGAACTGTTACAAGATTTAATTATAAAAGATTTATTTATCAGATATGCTTGAGATGAAATACTATCAGTAACATGTCCGAGTTCTAAAGACAGGTCTGACCTTCCCCAAGAGTAGGGAATATGTTATATACTAACCTAGGCTTTCCTTCCACCTTCTCAGACACAGGTAATCAAGTGATCTCTTCACTGAATTTCTTAGAACTCAGCGAAGCTGCAGGCCGAAATGAGGGTCCTCTCATGAAAGGGAGATGCAGGGGGACTTGGACTCATTTGCCTTCCTGGGTCCCACCCTCCATAAAAAATATTCAAAATGGTATTTCAACATTTTTTCAACCTAAAAAAATGGGACAAGGCACTGTGCCTAGGGGGTCAGCCATACTCATGCCAACAGTAGACAATCATCGATTCCAGTGGTTACTCTAAAACACTGGCCATCTGCGCTATTAAAGAGGGCACGTTCTGCATGGAGCACTGGGTGTTATACGCAAACAATGAATCATGGAACACTACATCAAAAACTAATGATGTACTGTATGGTGATTAACATAATAAAAAAATACAGGAAAACAATCAAAATAAAACACTGGCCATCTGCTCGTATCTTTCAATTATCCTTTTTTTAAAGATTTTATTTATTTATTTTGAGAGAAAGAGACAGCAGCGAGAGAGGGAACACAAGCAGGGGGAATGGGAGAGGGAGAAGCAGGCTTCCCACGGAGCAGGGAGCCCGATGCGGGGCTTGATCCCAGGACCCTGGGACCATGACCTGAGCCGAAGGCAGACACTTAACGACTGAGCCACCAAGGCGCCCCTCTCTCAATTATCTTAAGAAAAAGCTCTGGAGGAGTTTCTGGAACAACCTCCTAGAACTCCAGATGACACTGAATTTAACTACTGTCTTATTGAATGATAAGGAACACCTAGTTCAAGTTTATTGAGGCAAACCAAAGAGAAAGTTTCAAGAGGTCAGAAGGTGCCAGAAGGAGAGAAGAAAAGAAAAACTGGCAGAGAAAACAAACCCTATGGCAGCAGAAATCAACACACAGAAACAGCAGTCAAGTGAGATGAGAACAAGTCCTCAAACAGTCTGAACATTTCCAGGTTCTCAGCGTCCTACATGCATGAAGGTTGTTCCAGAAAATCAAGGAACAGATCCTGACAGGGATCTTTCACAAGGAAGATACATTCTTTCTCACTGTCTCTGAAAGTATCCTCTTTCCTACACTTACCAACCTGCAAAAGATTCTCCTTTCCAAAGAGCCTATTTCATAAATAGGAAAAGAGGAGTAAAGAAAATCAAAGTTGGGTTACAATGTAACTTGGGGTGAGACCAAGAAAAGGCTCAGTCTTTTGACCATCAGGGACAAATTACTGTCTTGTAATGGCAGGCTACCCTAAGTGATGCAACATTGGCCTCACCTGGGAGTCTTGCTAGGTAGGGACCTTGGGTTGCACCTCAGACCTCAGTGAAGCAGAATCTGCATGGAAGCAAGATCTGCAGGAGAGGAGTATGCCTAATGAAGTTTGAGAAGCACCGCCATATCTGAGTCACATAAACCAATGCTCCCAGGAGCCAGAGAGCAAGAACGGACCACTGGTAAGACCTGACCTAAGGAAGCAGTGTCCATTCACTCAGCCATCATGACAGCTATACCCGGAAAGCCCTAAGTCATGCTGATCATTTCTGACATGCAGTAGTTAATGATTGTTATTCTGTCTACTAGGAATTTGGCATGGGACAATTCTTAGAGTAGCAGTAGCTGACTTAACACAATCTGGCAGATTTTAGTCTTTGAGGTATTGTATTTAACTCTACCCTTAAGACAATATGAACATTGTACAAACTGAAAGCCTTAATTTTGTTTTCATTACTTTGCTGAGAACAACATTTATAAGGCTTTTCTCTTCATATTGTGCTGGTATTTTCTTTTATGTTGAATTATAGGGAGCACTAAAAATGCAGGAACAGAGGTTACCATTCCTGCCTGAACTTAGTTCTTAATGTGACTGAAAAAAGGAAACACTAATTCATGCATTTCTACATGCCTAGACCGCTTCCCCCAAAAAAGATGTTAGAGGTTGACTTTTTAGAGGTGGCATTTAAGATCTCATTACCCCTTTCATTACGTCCAAGTCAACTGGTCATAACGAAGGTAATAAAAACAGCTCCCACTTAGTGAGTCCCTTGTTTACACCAGGCTCTGCACTGGGCATTTTATGCAACTATCTCATTTAATCCTCACAACAATTCCCTGAGGATTATTAGTCTCACTTAGTAATGGAGAAAACCGTGGATCCTTTAACGAATGTGCCCAACAAATGAGCTGCAAAACCGAGTATATGCAATGGCAATGCATGTTCACACGATTCTAAACCCAGGCCCTTGTTAACCAAACACACCACCATCCGACAAACAATTTACTCAAGATCAATAAGCTAGCTGGAGGAACAGGCATTTTTATTCATTCGTTCATTGCACTGGTATGTTCTTATTTATTGATAGACTCTTCTGTACCAGTCACTGCACCAGGCATTCAAGATCCAGTTGTGAACCAGACAGACACGGGCCTTCTCGATCCTTTAAGGAGCTTACGGTTCAGCCATGTGCATTATTAGCTTCCTAAAAGATGCCTAGATGTTACCCCTGGAACTTGATGAACTGACAGAGGGAAAAACAGCTCCCTCAAAAATCATTCTCAATCTAATAATTCACGGCTTGGAAGATGTGACATCTGGTGAGAGGATCCATGGGGTCGGTTTCATCAGACTACTGATAAGCTAACAGGAAGATCGGGAAGCAGAGGTATTAAGAAGATCTGGATACAGGGGATAGGTAGGTTCTGGAAACTGAAGAAGTGATAGGCAGGTTCAAAGTACGAAGAACGCTGCCTGGCTTAGGCTGCCTGGAGCAATTCAGACTACTGCCCAAGCGACATCATAAAAGGTATCTTCTCAAAAAGGATCCAAATCCTAAGGCTCTAAAAGTTTTTCCCTAATCAACAATCTTCATAAATCACAGGCCACAAACATTTGTATCTGTTGATGACACCTCAGCTATGTTTAAGATTAATGCAAGAGGCAAATGTTTATCCCAGAAGCTATGACTCACCCTTTGTGTACTGCAAAATCCTTTCCACCAGGACAGGGTATTTTGTGATGCGCTGAGTGACTAGCAGAATGCATTCTGGAATTCCTCGGCGTCGAGCCAGAAGATTACTATTTCGAAGCTTAAAAATATATATATACATTTTTATGTACACAAACTGTATTTTCTTTTTAGGTCTGAGTTTAATAATACAAAGAATCTGCCATTGTATTGTTCTATTCAGATACAACGTAATATGCATTATCATTAATTAAAACTTGATTCATTGTCGGGGCGCCTGGGTGGCTCAGTCGGTTAAGCGACTGCCTTTGGTTCAGGTCATGATCCTGGAGTCCTGGGATCGAGCCCCACATCAGGCTCCCTGCTTAGCGGAGACCCTGCTTCTCCCTCTCCCTCTACCGGCTGCTCCCCCTGCTTGTGCCCTCTCTCTGTCAAATACATAAAGAAAATCTTTTAAAAAATAAAATAAAATAAAACTTGATTGTCATTAAATTGTACACTTTGTCATTAATCTCTCAATAATCTCACTCTCAAAATTAAGAAGTTTCAAGTTACACTGATATATTTGCAGTTAATTCCAAAAGTAAGCAAGTTTCACTAAGTGTTAAGATTTATGAAGAGCAAAAGTTCTGGCAAATATTCACAAATCAAAGTCACATTTTGAGTGTGAGTTTGCAATTAACTGTTGGTTTTTCTAACCAGTCTTCCTCTACATTTGTTATTATTCATCACAGCACTTACAGTTCCCTCTAATCAAGTCAATTTTTTTCCTAAAAATTTCATAGTATTCTTTAAGTTTTCAAGTTCTCAATACTCAGGTATGTGGTGTGGGGGAGGGGGAGTATCTCCTAACATTCTCAAAATAAAAGAAAAAATGTACAATCCAAGGAACTCTAAAGGACAAATTTCTTCAACACATAAGCTGGAACATCAAAAAATAAATAAAGGGATGGGGCACAATCAAATTAAAAGAGATTTAAAAGATACAACTCTGATACACAATATGTAAACTTTAGTCAGATTCTGATTTAAGCAATCCAATTTCCTTTCATTTTTTAGGGAAATCTGAATACTGACCAGCTGTCTGAAGATATTAAAGAATAATTCTTAATTGTGCTAATGTCAATGTAATTTTTAAAAGATGCACTGTTTAGAAATACATATTACATACATGTGAAATTACATGATGTTCTGGATTTGCTTCAAATTAATCCAGGGGGTGGGGTGGATTCTGTGTTTTCACTAAGGTTCTTCTGATTTATTACTTCTCAGGACATAAAACGACAACCCAGGATATTACAAAGGTGCTCAGAAGGTTGGAGGACACTTTACAAATATAAGATACAAAAGGAAATTACTTGGGAGAAATATTTTACCAAGACAGAAAAAGAGATTTTCCATCTTTGCCACAAGCCTATCTCTTTCTTTTCCTTCCTCTGAAAATCAGCACCTCGATGTGAAACTTGTTAAGGTCATGTAACAAGAAAGCATGAACAATTTCCCCGTGCCGGCTTACCACTTTGCAATAGTTTAAAAATACTTACCTTAATAAAATTCTGAAACTTTTTATTTTGCTGGAGTTCTTTAAAGAGGCTAACAGCTTCTTTGTGATGGCTACAGAATTCTCCATATATTTTCTTCATTTGATTTGCATTTTCTTCTGAAAACTGAGAATGACATTTCAATGATGGTTTATAAATTTAATTAGTTCTAAACCCTGAAGAGAACATGCAATTTTCATATATTTCAATATATTTTTGGCAAATAAAGAATAAACATAAAATTTCTGAACACAATCCCTTCTTTTCCCCAGACACTTTTTAAATTAAACTAAGAAGTTGCCAAGAGGTAAGGGGAAGACATCAACCTATTGGGGTTATACTCTATTGGACTAATTCAATTATCACATAGCCAAATGAAAAACATTTGTTACCTTTTATTCTTTTTTAGGTGTTTGTGCAACTTTATCATTTCAACTTACTGTTTTATTACCTTTCTAGACTGAAGAAAAGCTATGTTGCAACATTTGGGGGTGCTCAAGGTTTGACCTCTCATGGGTTGACATTTACATTTGGTGAACTGACCATGTCCATGGACTCAGTCCTCAATTTGGAATTTGATTTTTGTCAATACATCACAAAAGGAAAGTCAGGTAAAATGGAAAGATGAATAATCGGAATGCCAATTTATTAACTAATGGACCAAAGTAGAGATATGGGCTGGATATTTCAATAAGCTTGACTTGTGGAAACATCTCTGTAGAAACTTCTAGGTAGGAACCAAATCAGATTAATAAGGTGGTATGGAGGACACAAACTGAATTACTTGAATGTCAATGTTTCACCCTCTGCCACATTCAATATTATCGCAACAGAAACTAAAACACAGCCACCCTGCCCCTGACAAGTACTTCAACTTTACAACCCCATCTCTGATCTTTTCATCTTTGCTTATAGTTTCATCTATGCTGGGGGCAAGTATGTCTCAAGAGCTGATTCTTAAATGACCTCTGATTGCTAAAAACAAGACAAAAACCAAAACAAACAAAAACTTAGATATTAATCTAACAAAGTATACACAGGCCTTCTATGCTGACAACTATATAATGCAGGTGAAAAAAAAAATCAAAGATGTAAATCAAAGGAGAGATATATCACGTTCATAGATTGGAAGACCCAACATAGTAAAGATGTCAATTTTCCCAAACTGATCTACAGGTTTAACGCAATCCTCCTCAGAATCTCAACAAGTTTTTTCTTAAAAATACATACAGACAAGATTATTATACAATTTAGATGGAAAAAGAATAGCTAAAAAACATTTTGAAAAAAATAAAGCAGAAGGACTCAGTCTACTCAATTTCAAGATTTATTATATAGCTACAATAATTAAGACTGTGTGAAAGGACAAACACATAGATTAGCGAAACAGAGTAGGAGCCCAAAATGCCCAGTGGATTTTTGACAGAGGAGCAAAAACAATTCAGTGGAGCAAGGATGGTACTTCCGACAAATGGCATTGGGGCATTAGACATCCATAGATCAAAAACAAAAAGTGAATCTTGACATGTGGCTCAGATCTTAAACAAAAATTAACTCAAAATGGATCACAGACTTAAATGTAAAACATAAAACTGTAAAACTTTTACAAAAATACATAGGAGAAAATCTTTTGAGATCTCAGGCTAAACAAAAAGTTCTTAGACTTGAAACCAAAACCATGACCTTTAAAAGGAAAAACTGAAAGAATGGACTTCATCAAACTTAGAGAATAAGAGAACAAGTTACAGACTTAAGAAAATGTTTGCAAATCACATAGCTGACAAAGGACTAGGATCTAGAATATATAAAGAAATTTCACTATTCAACAGTAAGAAAACAAACGATCCAATTAGAAAATGGTCAAAAGACATGAGCCAACCTTTTATCAGAGAGGATATACAGATGGCAAATAAGCACATGAAAGATGCGGAACATCATCAGATATGGGAGAATTATAATTTACATCACAGTGAGTTATCCGTATATGTCTTTCAGAATAGCTAAAATGAAAAATAGTGACAATGCCAAATGCTGGTGAGGATGCAGAGAAACTGGATTACTTGTAACTGTTGATGAGGATGTAAAATCATACAACCACTCTGGAAAATAGTTGGCAGTCTCTCACAAAATTAAGCATGCAACTACCATACAATCCAGAAATTAAGACACCCACATATTTATCCCAGAGAAATGAAATACACACACACACACACACACACATATCTTTAAGCATATTTGTATCAATGAACTTAACTCCTCCATTTGTAGTAAATAAACCAACAGCTGAACTCTATTATTGCGTGCTACACAGTGAAACGGATTCAAAAATCGGTCTTTTGGAGAAGATGGCATTTGGTATTTATCAAGAGGAAGTCAAACTAAGCTAACTAGGGATGCCTCTCCATGCCTTTCTCCAAGTGCTCCAAGGGACTGCAAAACATGGCATTCAAGCAAATTCCCTAGTTTTTTGTTCCTAAGTGACCCATTCATTCAATAAATATTTATGGGACCAAGCACTGTTCTAAGTGAAATTAGTTTGATGAATTATTAAATGAAATTCATTAAATGAAATTCATTAAATTAATGAATACATTAGTAATCAAATCAACAAGAATCCCTGCTTTACTGGGACTTACAAACTAGTGATGATAAAAAGCTTCCCCAGGTGTCACTACAGAGGTCTCAAGAAATCATATGCCTAACTCATTGTTCAGAGAGCAGATTTTGATTCAAACCTCAGTTAGGCTACTTAGGAGATAAGTGAACTTGAGAAAACCATTACCTCCTCCATGGCCCGGTTTCTGTATTCATACAATGGGAAAGATAATATCTACCTCATATAGAGAGTTGTGAAGGGAAAGGAGGTAGTATACATACAAGTACCCTGGAAAGTGCTCGCTCTATGAGGGTCACTGAATACATGTTATTTAACTTCTCTATTAGCATCTATATCACAGAAAACCCCTTGCAAAGGGATCAGAAGGCCAATATGAATTGTCAAAATTTTGTTTTCTCTTTTCCATTAGAAGAGTAGCACAGTCCATTCTCATGATGCTTCAAACATCCCAGGCACCTAAAAAGTGCCTCCTTTCAGTGACATTTGCTGTGTTGTCCCCCAGGCAGGAACACTAAGGCTTTAATGATAACAGATCTTCCTCCCTCTTCCTAAGATGAACCAACATCCATCTTGGCGATAGTGGCATGACTACCACGGTTGCACGGGGGGAGCCCTGTTATCACAGAGCCACCACATCAAGAAGTCTACGCAGAATTTTCATAAGAGATTTAGATATGACCATGACTTCCTGGTGGAGAGAGGGATGGGGATCATCCCACCAGGTCCTGAGACTCACAGAAGTCAGTCACTGGCTGGTAAAGCTCTCAGCCACCAGGCACACAAAGGGGTATCGAACAGAAGAAAACCAACCAATCCCATCTGGCAGTAATGGTAAAACAATTGCAGTTCTTCATAGGCTTTTAACATTGTAGAGAGTCAGCAAACCTTTAGGTTTTTGAGGTTTGGGCCCTTAAACCTCCCTTACCTGCTGCACTAGAATATCTCCAATTCGGTTGATGATGAAATTCCTGTCATCACCAGCACAGGACTCCTGCCTTCGCTCCTTCATACTATAAAAGAAATGCCTATGGATTTCAAGTAACTCATCTAAGCAGGGGAAGATTTTATCCACGGTGCTGTGATCAAGCTGCAGCTCCTCCTTCATTCCTTTCCTGAAGATCTCAGACATGATGAGCAGGGTCTGGATATGATGCATCTCTGTTTGCATCAGCTCTGAAACAAACATGCAGAAAGAAGCTTGGACAACGAAGTACTCCAGTGACCTACATTAGCGGCTGAACACTGAATGTTATACAAATTAAAAAAAAAAAAAAGGAATGTTTATGAACAATGATATTCTTCCGCTATAAAAGTCAGCATTGATTCCACTTTCTCCAGAAGAAAACAAAGTGCGATGATCAAGGGACATTGTGGATAAAGTGAAAAAACAACAGCCCACAGAATGGGAGAGAGTCAGATCCTTCTTCAAGGCCTCCATGCTTGCTGTTCCAGCTGCCTAAGATGTTTTCTTCCCCAATCCACCTAGCTCCTTCTTATAAAGTCATCCAGGTCTCTTCGAATATTTCTTGTCTCTTAAGTCTCCTCCCCTGTATACCCTAACATTTCATAGCCCTCGTCCCCCTGTTTGATATGTATTTTTCTTTTCAGCACTTACCACTACCTACAATCTATTATGTATTCTACACATATCCTGGACTACACTGTAGGTTGTGTCCTCTGTCTTCCCACAGCAAAGTGAGTTCATGAGAGCAGAAAATCTGTACATTTTGCTCGCTGTTATTTCCCTGGTTTCCAGACTTAATGCCTGGCATACAACAGGTGCTAATATTTGTTGGAAAGTATACAGTATTTTATTTCTCAGAACCAAGATAAGTAGATGTTCTTATCCGTACTTCTTGATGAATAAACTGTGTCAAAAGGTTGTACATAACTTGCTCTAAACCTCAAAGCAAGTAATGAGGCTTCTTTGAAAGAAGAAAGGGAGGAGGGCAGTGGGCCAGCCTAGGGAGAGAGATCAGACTTCTTATGTGGGTAGAGTCAATAGACAGAAACTAGGGGAGAGGAACTTCAGATCTTAGCACAGATTAGTAGATTTAAAATGCAATGTCTATGGAAAGAGTTTCTAGAAAATGGAGGTGTTCAAGAAAAATGTGTGTGATCAGGTTGCCGGGCTATGGCACTGATGATTCAAATACTACAAGGAACATGGAATCAGATGTTTTCCAATGACCTTACTTGGTTTTCAAATATCAATTTTTAATAAAGTGTGGCTGCCAATGATGCTAATTACTAAACTTCTATAGAAAAAGTAATGCTGGCATTTCCAGTAAAAGGACTGAAAAAAAATTTTTTAATGCAAGAAAAATATCTCAGAAGGGACTTGCATCCAGAGTATAAAAACAAGTGTTACAACTCAACAGTAAAAAGACAAAATGGAACAAAAAAACCCACTTCAATGGGGGAAAAGATTTGAACAGATGTTTCTCCAAAGAGATCTACGAATGACCAATGAGTACATGGAAAGATGCTTAACATCATTAGCCCTCAGGAAAATGCAAATCAAAACCAAAATTCACACACACTAGGCTAACTGGAATAAAACAGGTGGACAATAAAGAAGTGTTGGTAGGGATGTGGAGAAAGCAAAATCCTCAGTATATCACTGGTAGGTGGGTAAAATGGTGCAGCTGCTTTGGAAAACAGTCTGACAGTTCTTCCCATGAGTTGAACATAAAGTTACTATGTGACCCCAAAAGTGGCAATAGTCCAAAATGACCATCCACTGATAAAATGACCATTAAATGATAATTAAATAAAACATAGGATATTCACAGTAAAATAATTTACAGCCATAAAAAAGAATGAAGTATTGATATACAACACAGATGAACCTTGAAAACAATACGCTAAGCGCAAGAAGCCGCCGTATATCGTACAACTCTATTTATGCCAAATACCCAGAGGAGGAAAATCCAGTGGGACAAGCAGATGAATGGCTGCTGGGGCTAGCGGGAGAGAACACAGAGAGTGAATGCTAAGGGCACAGGGTTTCTTCCTGGAGGAATGCAGATGCTCTGGAATTAGATGGTTGATGGTTGCACAACTTCATGAACATACTAAAAACTACTAAACTCTACACTGTGATAGAGTAAATTTTATGGTATATGAATTCTATCTCAATTATAAAAATGCATCACGAGAGGAAATAATTCATGATTTGTGGGAGAACCATAAGTACAATTCTAGATTAGTATTTTGGACTCAGATATTAGGAAGACTCTAAAATATTAGCCATGGAGGGTAAACAAGTCTCAATGTAGCTTTATTATTTTATCATAAACAAAAATCTCTTTGACCCACTAACTTCAAGTTATTCTTTCCTACCATGTTTTTCGCACCTACTCTGTACTAGAAGCACTTATTCATATGATTCATTTAATCCTTTTATCTAATTATCCATTATGACCCAAAACATAGTAATGATTTTTCTCATCCTTTAAAGAAAGACAACGAAGGGGCGCCTGGGTGGCTCAGTTGGTTAAGTATCTGCCTTCGGCTCAGGTCATGATCTCAGGGTCCTGGGATCGAGCCCCATGTGGGGTTCCCTGCTCAGCGGAGAGTCTGCTTCTCTCCCTCTCCCTCTGCCGCTGCCCCTGCTTGTGCTCATTCTGTCAAATAAATAAGATCTTAAAAAAAAAATAAAGACAATGAAGAGAAGAGTGAAGGATTTCCTTTGGAATACAAGCCCCTCTAACCCCAAAGGCCATGCTGTGAACTGCACAACATGATAATTCATCCCAAATGGGTTATTTTTAATATATGAAATCAAGAAGTAAGTGAAGAAAAATTACAGTATAATACAAACTACATGAGAAATAAAAGGGACAGCGTCTTCCCACCTATACAGCCCTGGACAGATTTCAAACCAGGCTTGTACATCATCCCATATGACCTGCCTAACCACCAACCTGAGAAGGTGAGAAGGAATCCTTGTCACCATGGACTTTGTGGCCCATACCTGCAAACAAAGAACTAGTAAAAACTAAGAGTGAGTCCCATCTTTCAAGTAGGGTACCTTCTTGGAAGCACTTCTGAGGATCTACTTTGCATTTTAAAATTGTTTCAACTTCATTTTTCTCTAACCAGTTGATAATTTAACTTCCCCTAATTCAGACTGCCTCTCTCCCAATAGTGGGAAATAGTAAAATCTCAGAGTTGAAATTCACACTTAGGACTGCAGAACACAGGCCCACATTGCTCTGATCCAGGTGTTGCCCATCCCACTGCAGTCTACGTGAAGGGTACCTGATGGTGCGTGCAGGCAAGCTGCAGAGCTATGTACCCAGCAGCGCTGTCTGCCCTACATTAAAATATGTGAAAACTTACAGTGATTCTCAGAAGTATAAGCCATGTGTAAGTAAACTTGAAAAGGATCTGAGAAATAAAATTCGCTTTGTATCACGTACATACAACGCTTCAATTAAGCCTCACATTTTAAACGCGAATATCATTATCCACATTTTAAAGACAGAGAAACTAAGATCCAGGTGAATTAAACCATTTGTCTGAGATCAAGTAACTAGAAAGGACTGAGATGTGAACCCACGTCTGTATGATGGCAAATTCCATGCTCTTTCCCCTATACCACCCTGCTTCAAGCCCAAGAGCATATTTTAAATGCTTACCGAAAATGACATCTTGTCTTTTGATGACATCTTTCTCCTGCTTACTGCAAAATGAGGGATCCACCACCAGACTCCAAGATTCTGCTTCCAACTCCTGGGCGTCACTGCTGAGGTCACTCCACAGAGAAGAATCCACGACATCTAGCGTGCGGGCAGAACACAAAAGCCAGAAGTGGAATAACACAAAACAAAGGCCTTTCCAAGTACCCATGTCTACAGACTCATCACACAAAATAAACCTGCTTTGAACACAAAAACAGCTAAGCCAAAATACTGTTGATGTGGGGCAGAAACATCTAGAAACCAAACTGGTGAAAGGATCCAAATCAAGGCAGCTTGCAAGAAAACAAAGAATCATTAAAAGAGTGATGGTGTGTATGTCTAAAAAAAAAAAAAAAAAGACATTTAAAGATTCTTCTGTTTTGGCGTGGTCTATTTTAGTTCTTTTATTTTTGGTAAGTTTCTGAGTCCATAATGTGCTTACAGAATCTTGAACACACACTACCTTTTGCCCCAGGTTACTCTGCACTCTACTCAAATCTGAGTTTTGTACTTGTCCACCTGATTTGCTCTTGACTTGGCTCGCTGTCCTTAATATAAACAAGAAAGCAGGGTACAAGGGCTCAAGTCACAGGTGAGTACAGACTTTTTGACAGAATTTGATATCACACACACATACTCCTTCCAGGAAAACTAAATCCTATTTGTCCAAACAGCACTCCTGAGAGAGAGTCCAGCCCAGAGGAGTCAGCATGAGAGGACAATGGATTGAAAGACTCAAGTTTAAAATAAAAGCAATCGATTCCGGGGGAAGAGTCCACCCCTCACCTTACTGCTCTCCTTTTCTCTGGTCCTCCTTCACTTATTGATACAGCTTGGATACAACACGCAGTCCACCAGATTAAATCCTATCCTACAAAATATGCTTTTTAAAAAATGCTTTTATTCCCCTAGAAGTAGGGGGCAACAGATGGGGATAAGTATCTCAGAAATCTAGGCAAGCCCAGTCTTAACTAAGTGAAGTACGTATTTTTAACATATGATCCTTATTCCAATTCATCAGTAGTTCTAAAACCTTATAAACAGTAAAAAGCACACGATGTATCTCATTCTCTTATTTTCATGCCACATGTCTATTTCATATATCATACATCCTTGGCCACTACCTGGGAGTATTCACTGAGGCTAAATTTTCATTTATCAAAAGAACCTATACCAAAAAGACACCATGAAACAGAATTCTTTAAAACACACACACACACATAATATGTTTGATCCTTCAGAAAATATTCCTTCTGGCAATTCCTCCCAGAAACAAACGTGTCTTCTCCTCACCTTCCACTAAGAAGGACTCCGTGGAGGGAGAAGAGCCCATGGACTGTAGCAGCTCATCGGAATGAGACCTGCTTCTCCAGGTGTTCCCGTCACTCTCACACTCCAGGGTTGGCCCCGACCTTCTGAAGCCGGAGGGAAGGAGGGAGACGAGTCAGTTCCAGCAGTGGCTCGGAGACGTGAAGGCTCAGGGTGGTTTCTCATCTTACCTTTCCAAGGCAGTGCCCGGAACACTTCTAGACAAAGGATGGGCCTGTGTGGAAGCTTCTTTTCTCCCGGTGGGCAATCCAATAGGCATGGAGGAAGAAGGGTGCAACCAGGGACCAGGTTGTGGGATGTCTCGCAATGAAGAGTCTAGAAATAAGAGATGGGCGCTTCATGTGATTTTCACAGAGGGCAGTAATTACAAGGAGTCACTCAAAAGCCAAGGAGTGAAACACTGGAATGGCGGCTGCTAATATGTCGCATACCCAGCCTTGACACCAGTCTCCTTGCCGCCTCCTGACATCTGCTTCAAATGTCCCTTCCATTTCACACCCTCCCGATACCCATGCAGCAGGCCAGCTTCAGCACAGCCACTTGGAGACTGTGGGCGGCTGGGATTACACAAACAAGAAGATGGAATGGGGAAACACTGAGAGAGCTTTCCCATAAACCACTGCTTGTACTCCTTCCAGCCAGCTTTAAATAGATGCAAGGTGTTATTAGTACTATTAGTAGAAGGCATATTGTATGTTTCAACAATCATACACACATACACACAGAACCATGTCAGTGGACTGGAATGATGCTGGGGAGTCTGTTCTTTAGGGGGTGAGAACTTCAGGCAAATGAAACCTGCAAGTCAAGCTGAGCTCTTCTCTCTCACATACTGAAAACTAAAGGGTGCTTCAATACCTTTCTGGTTTCTTCCAAACTTCTTCTCAACACTTTCTTCTAAGTCGTTACGGGCATATATGCTTTTATACTTGAGGTGTACCATACATGACCCTCAGGAAATGTTTCAATCCTACAGTATCAGAGATAGAGCACACACCTTCTCAAGCAGAAGAGAATCAACACTTACATGGAACCCCGGGATATTACAGAGGATTTTATACATGTATGATTTGGTTTGATTTTCATGACTCCCAGAGAAGGAATTTTATCAATTATAAGGTCCTTTTATTTTCATGCCGAACCTTATGAAATTGACAAGCACCTCCCAACTACAATCAAAGGGACTTCTGTCCAGGCAGGGGTGTAAACGAAGTCACAGTTGTGACTCTCTGCACTAGCTCAACCTGTTCAACATCACACCCAATCGCATAGCACCATGAATCTGCATACTGTATTGTCCTGTGATTCAAGTGGTTTTGGAAACACTGGTCACACTGTTAGAGCATTCAAATGAAAAGTGACCACAAACTTAAAAATGCCTTCCACATGGCAAGCAATGCCACATTTGAGGCAGAACAAATTGCAAAGTCTCTCACAACAAACGGGAGGATTTTGAAACTTAGGAGATGATGGTCCCTGGTTCTTGCATGCAATGTAAACTACTGTCAAAAGCTTCCAATTAGTGCCAAGAAGAATTGTTTCATATGAAGCAATATGTAATTCAAGGAAAAACAGAAGCACCAAGTTTAACAGTGGATGAGAAAAACACCAGGTTGCCTTGAAATATCACTGTCATCCTAAAGGAGCTGATGAGATCACAGCCTCAAGCCCAGCTAATAAGCAGGACCAGGTCACTATGATAATGGACATCAGGGACTGTAGACTCCAAACTTCAGGATTTTGTCCCTAACTCTGATTCTGAAGGAAGCATGTGATAGGTATTTGTGTAGTTAAGTATGTGTTAGTGCTGGGAAAACAAAGTTATGGACACTTCATGTCGAGTTCTCTTTTCCCCCAAAGGTTGTTATTAAATCAGTAGTGTATATTACACGAGATCATGTCTTAGAATTGAGGCAATATCCTAACACATCCCCCCTTATAGTCCTCTCTAAAATAAAATATCATATAGTACATCTAGCACAAAAGCTATTAGACTGGCATAGAATTTTATACCATTCTTGACCTCCTTGTGTAAGTAAATATTACACTAATCATGTGTTAGGAAAGAAGAAATATTTGGACAAAGGAGAAAACAAAAGGAGTAGGTATTTCACATTGGAAAAAAAGTATGGTATGTATGAAATTGCCATTTCCACGTCACTTACTTCCAAGGATGGTCTGCGGTTTGTTCTTGTTGTATTTCTCTTGGAATTTCTGGTAAAGGACATTAGAAACACGTAAAATGAGATTAAATTCCATCTGACTACAAAAATATCCATCCAGTTACATAGGATTCTTATCGATATCATTTTTGTTATCTTATTTCAAACAAAGAAATATTTAAAGCAAAAGGCATTAAATGCACTGAAGAGGAAAATGGCATGATAATGAGATGTGCAAGCTGTAAAGAAGGCGTGCCTCATGAACACATATCATGAATATCCCAGCTCTGTTACAAGTCTTTGGGGAACCAGAAATCTCCATCTCATGGGTCCAGACCGCAGCTGAGAGAGGAGCCCCTATCAGCACTGCCTTTCTCCTACTTGTTCTTCCTACTCTTGGCTACCCCTTCTGCCTACCGGCCACAACACCCTGAGGTATTGAAACATCACCCATAACTACGTGACCAGACACAAGGTCTGTTTCAATTGGCACAGAAGTTGGAGACTCCAAGGTTCCCTCTGAAGCGTCATCATGCTCACTCGCATACATTTTGGACATGACTTTAGAGTGGGAAAGAAAGGAAGAGATGTGACCAGATGCATCCATTTTCTCAAGCCCCCCCCCCCAATCTCAGAGACCATTCCTTTATTCCAGGGGACCTCACAGTGTGGTCCCAGGACAGCAGTACCACCTGGGAACTTGTTAGAAATACAAATTCCTGGACCCCACCCAGATCCTACTGGGTCAGCAAATATGAAAATGGGGCCCAGAAATCTAGTTTTCCCAGGTCCTCCAGGTGATGTTGCTATTTGCTGATGTTTGAGAATTACCGCTCTAGGCTTCATATACATACACTTGAGGTCCACACTGGTAAACCAAGCAGTTCTCAGTGGAAAGACTAACCCACTTATACCTTATAACACAGGCGGCCATGTTTGAGCTTTTCCTATTTCCAAAGGTGGATAGTTCAGGAAACAACTATGCACCCTGAACATGTGTGTTTTTTTTTTAATCACTATAATGATCACTTTAAAAACAAATATAGACAGTAATAAAAGAATAAAACCTAAACAGATAACAGAAAGCAACAAAGCTACATATGCATAGGTAAAAACAAATGACAGATTACCTTGGTACACGGAGGGGCGGCGTCCTTACAACCCTTGTGGACGTTTGCATTACAGTCTGAAAGACAAAAATGAGGAAGACAGCACTGTGCCTTTACTGGTCATCATAAAAGTAGCACACAAAAATATTTAGAAAACATAAGGAAAAATATCTAGATCACATGCAGTCCCACCCTTGAGCACAAGCACATGGTTAATATTTTCATTTCCTTGGAGAGATTCTCCCCCTTCTGCACAGAGTCTTACCAATTATGAAACCTGCAATCATGCATGATAGACACTTCTGTGTCTGCCTGAGAACTCATTTACTACTATATGCCCTGCCCTGCAAGGGATTTCTGATATCTGGCTGGTGGCAACTGCCCATTCCCGCACCAGGGAGAATGCCTTGCAAGACGGAAAGAAAGAAAACAAACTCATAACAATGCTGAAAAAAGTCCTGTCAGGCTCCAGGAGGAATTCCTGCTAACTTCAGATAGCCACATTAAAAGAGACAAGTTGGCCACTTGCTTGTCTTCCTCTATACAACACGTGGCCTCAATTTCACTAAAAGAATGGAAGAGTTTGCCTGCTCCTTTCTGCCCCCGGCTCAGAGATCCAGGCTGTCTTCACAGAAAGCCGCCCCTGTGCGTGGGGACTGCTTTTTGCCGGGCTGTTGTCTTTCTGCCCTCGATCCCCACCAGCCTCCACACCACCGGCCATGACGCTCTCGTCTCACCCCCCTCCACACAGTAAAGGGGGGAGCCTGCAGCTTATCACAATTTTCATTAGAAAGAATCCTTCCTCGTGGGTAGAAGGTCCCATTTAGGTCCATCCCAGCCGCAGTGGCAAAATGCCTATAACCCACGGAGAAGCTAACTCAACTTCATCCCGCTGTAGGTCTACAGAGGCATTTTAGCCAATACCTCAATGGCTAATGAGCAGAGGTCAGGATTATCCACGTGCTGGTCCTGCTGGCAAATGTGGAAATCAGACTGCTCTCTCCTCATTGCAGAATGAGTGAATGAAAGGAAAAGGGGAAGAAGTAGAAACTATGAGGTAACACAAAGTTAGACAGAAAAGTCACAGGAAAAGAAAGCCACTGATGATTATTAACTCTAGAAACAGAGAGGAAAAACTTAGATATTTGAAATGTATTTTCCTTCAGAGACACAAAATAGACATAAAATAGGACCAAAAGGCCACAAAGGGAGTAGAGGACCTGATATTAGGCCAGCACGATAAGAGGGAGATGGAGCTTTGGGGGACAAGAAAGCAGAACGTGGACCCAACGGAGAAAAATCAATTTAACCAAAATATCAAAGCAGCACTGGGAAATTAAACTTGAAAGATTCCCCCCTGAATGTAGAGAAAAAGGAGGGTATAATTATAAAGTAGAAGATGTCCTACAAAAAAAGGTAACAGAGATCACACTTCTCCAAGGAAGAAATCAGAAAAATTACATCAGAAGCAATAGTCAAAGCTACAGTGGACAAAAACTTTTATTGAACTAAAAAAGAACTACAAAAGGCAAATCAAAAGGTCTCCCTGTTTTCTAGGAGTTAAACGACACCTATTCTGTAGACACGTTCTGACGGTATCTGTATGACTGAAAAATTTAAAGTTCTCAAGCATCTAGGCAGAACAGGTTACCAACAAAGAAATAAGGTCAGACAAGCCCCCAAACTTTTCTATTGTAATATTCGATGCCCAAAATTCATGGACCAATGTTGACAGGATGTTTGGGGGAAAGATATTGGCCTAGGAATTTATTTAGCCAGATAACTCTTTTTTGTGTGTGAAAGAAGGAAGAAAAGATATACTACCTCCTTAGAGACACAGGTTTCAGAAAACAGATCAGTCCAATAACTCTTTTGGAAAAAACGATTTACCTGAAATCCTACTCAAGACTATTACGAGCAGAATCAAAGTTAAGAGTTCAAGAATCAATCAGCTTTATTTTAAAAAAGAAAAGCAAAGAGAAGAAAGCAATAAAACCAGCTAAAGAATCATATCCAAAAAATTTTTGTAAGCAGAGATAGAGAAATGAATACAAATACCAAATTCTTGAAACGGAACACTATTTTTCAAAGATTAAACATACAACATAAAAATAGTAATTTAATAGCTTAGTATACCAATAGATTCTAGGGGAAAAAAGGGTAAATACAGGAGAAATTTAAGAATATTCACATATAGGGGCGCCTGGGTGGCTCAGTTGGTTAAGCGACTGCCTTCGGCTCAGGTCATGATCCTGGAGTCCCGGGATCGAGTCCCACATCGGGCTCCCTGCTCAGCAGGGAGTCTGCTTCTCCCTCTGACCCTCTTCCCTCTTGTGCTATCTCTCATTCTCTCTCTCTCAAATAAATAAATAAATAAAATCTTTAATAAAAAAAGAATATTCACGTATAAGCCTTAAAAGTTACCACTAGTTGATACTACAAGAGCTTATCTTGCCAAGTCCCTGAGAACATAAAAACCAACAACGCATGGTATAAATAGCTAAATCAGACATCAAGGAAAAGAGCAAAGAACTATAAAAGATAGGTGACAGCTGTAAAATTAAATGTAAATAAGAAAAAAAAGTCGTTATAAAATAGTATCTCTCAGTTACAGATTAACTACAGCTAAATTAAAGACACATGCCCCAAATTAAAAACACAGAAATTAAAAAAATAATAATAAAAACACAGAAATAGGGAAAAATACGAAGAAAAGGAAAGCAAGAGGAATGTTAATTTTAGAGAAGGTAAAAATCAATGCCAAAGGCAATGAATAAAGGGTAATTTTATGTTTACGAAAGCTAAATCTGCAATTAAGCTGTGATTCGTGAACTTCTGTGCACCCAGTAATGTAACATCTAAATATAAGCAGGGAAATCTATCTATAAACAAAAATAATTTTATAGAAATATAGTATTTATAAAAAACTAGAAACTCAGATTTTAACAAAGAAGAATACAAACACCAGAATTTTGAATACCTATATTACGTTTTGTTTTCTATCATGTTAAGATTAGAAATAGTAATCTCCATAATTAAAAACAAAAATACACGCATAAAATAGGATTTACCAGTAACAGCTGAGTTTACATGTCAAAATCTGCCCCATGTAAAAAAGCTTAATAACCAAAGTTTAAACCCGCAACACTCCTCTTCTTAAAAACTATGAATCTTAAAACTTTTTTAAAAACTGTGCGTTAAAGAGGAAACTTTACATATACTCATACTGATGCTAGAATGTAAGACAATAATCTAAGATGTGGACAGTGTTGGGGTGCCTGGGTGGCGCAGTTAAGCGTCTGACTGCTGATTTCTGCTCAGATTATGATCTCAGGGTTGTGGGATTGAACCCACACAGCCAAAAAAAGATGTGGACAGTGTTACATGCAAAAGAATGCCACTGACCAAGTTATTTGTTGTGGAAAAAAGTGAGAAAAAGTTAAACGTACACTAAGTAAGGAGTAATTAAACACATTTCATATCAAATAAAACATGAGCATAAATAGCTAACGAGAATGAACTCCATTAAAATATGAATAGCCATCTTCTCTAGTTAGTAAGATTTGGGATAATTTTAAATTTCTCCTTAAGCCTTTTATCTTTTATGAGTCCTATTGCATTTAAAAAAATGACTTTTTTTTTTAAAGATTTTATTTATTTATTTGTCAGAGAGAGAGCACAAGCAGGGGGAGCGAAGCAACAGGCAGAGCAGAGGGAGAAACAGGCTCCCCACTGAGCAAGGAGTCTGATGTGGGACTCGATATCAGGACCCCGGGATCACGCCCTGAGCCAAAGGCAGCCGCTTAACCAACTGAGCCACCCAGCTGTCCCAGTAATGACTTTCTTAACAGCCAAATACATCCTCCATATTTTCAGCCATTTCTGCCTTCCACTCAAACTTCCATGGCCATCCACTTGACCAACTTTTCTGTGAACCAACATGTTCTGTGCTACACTACAGTTTACCTTTCAGTGAGCCCACCTCCCTCCCTGCGAACCCCTGCCCCAGTTTTCTGTCTGTCGTTAACTACACAGGAGTGCCCAAGGGCTGGGCTTTGTGATAGCTGCTGCAGGGGATACAGAAGCATCACTGTATCATTTTAGTCCTTGATTTTAGGGCTCTATTTTAGTAGTTAAATATCAAGAGGTTGTCCATAATCCAGTATGAAATGGAATAGGATAAAGAGATCATACATGTGGTGCACAAAAATTCTGGACACAGTGGTCAGGGAAGACCTCCCAAGATGAGGTAAGAAATCAAGACAGATGCAGAAGAGTTGGGAGAAATGAAGAGGAGGGAGATCATCAGAAGCAAAGGGTCAGAGACGGGAGAACACACTCAGTGGGAGGGAAGGACAACATGCCTGGCAAGGCCTCTGGCTGTAAACCAAGGCTGAAGAGGGAACCAACTGTAGGACCATTTGGCACAGAGGGCACCTAACGCATCTCTCTGCAAAGTGTGGGCTTAGTCCAGGAAACAGAGAGAGAAAGGTCCTTAAGTGGATGTGGGTAGATGACAGCAGTGTTTGACAAAGACTAACGTGGTACAAGTACTTATTCAGAATAAAGGAAGTGAAGGAGTGAATGGTGTTGAGTCGGGGGGCGGACAACAGGGAAGAGGGATCAGCATGCCCAAGGTGTGAGCTTGCACCATTAACACAGAAGGAAGGACAGCCCTTTGGCATGTGGATGGTGAGGCTGGTTTTTGCCTTGTTGGTCTGGGAGACCAGAAGTCTCTGGGAGATGCTGGCCACAGATAGGGTTGCTCTGAGTCACTGTGTGAGCCAAGCACAGGGTGGTCAGGAGAGGGCTGAGAACGTGTTATCTGAACAGACCTGAAGGAGGGGAGGGGGCCATCAGTCCCCCTGGCTGATCTGAGGGAGGAGCATTGCAGGCAGAAGGAAGAGCCAGGAGAGGCCTTCTGGCGGTAGCATGTCCGACCCGTTGAGAGAACAGCAAAGATGCCAGAGCGGCTGGAGCAGGGGGAGGAAGGGGCAGAGGACAGAGGGGGAGACAACAGGGCCTCGCACCCACTGTCGGGGCTTCTGCCGTCCTCGGGGGTTGACAGGAAGCCCTGGAAGATCTGGAACACGGGGATCTGTGCCTTCACAAGCTCACTCGGCTGATATTTTGAGAACAGATGCTTTTAGAACTGTGCCATTTGTGCTAAAAGTACAAGGAAACCAGTTAGAAAGCTATTGAAATGGTGGCTTTAGCCCAGGGTGATAGCAGCGACAGTGTGAAAGGTGGCTGGCTTTTGCACATGTTGGGAAGACTGAGCCAAGGGGAGTTCTGACGGACTCGACGTGGGATGTGAGAGAGAAAGAGGCGTAAAGAGAGACCCCAAGCTCTTTGCCATGAGTATGTGACTGGCGTGCTTGAGCTGCCATGAACAGAGAGGATCAGCCTGCATGTGGGCACAGGGGTGGGAAAGCAGAGCTCCACTTTGGACATGCAACTTTTGAGAAGCTGTTTAGATGCCCCAGTGGAGACATCAAGTAGGCAGTGAGATATGCAGGTCTGCGGTTCTGGGCGCTGTCACTTATGGACAACAAGCACCGACTCTAACCATCACGGGTCACTGCTCGGTGAGCTGTCAAATCACACATGCAGCGCTACAGTTAGGGTTTGTGTAAAGATGCTTAACAACGGCCCTACTCTCCAGGGGCCTGGGTGGTACAGTCAGTTGAGCATCTGACTCTTAGTTTCGGATCAGGTCATGATTTCAGGGTCATAAGATTGAGCCCCACATCGAGCTCCATGCTCAGCACAGAGTTGGCTTAAGACTCTCCCTCTCCCTCTCCCTCTGTCCCTACCCCCACTAAAATAAATAAATAAATCTTTAAAAAAGCATAAAACAAAAAACAATGGCCCTATTTTCACGGAGCTTACTGTCTGGGGATGCAAAATGCAAAGACAGCACACGCTGGGCCCAAGAACTTACTGGAACACTGGAATGACTCCTTCCCCAGGAGCGTTTTATCACAAACCGAACACTGTAGAACCCCAGAGAATGTTCCAGGGACAAACTGATGGCGGCTCGGTTTCTCTTTGTCTTTGGCATCCTTGCTTTTTGTCTTCAGATACAACAGCAACAGCCAAGTGGGGAGAAATGAGAAAAGACAAATGCTGAGAGCCAAAGTACTTACGGAAGCCATACAGAGTCTCTACATTTTCTGTCTGAATGTAAGGACTGCACGCGGAGGAGTGCAGTAATGCCAGAAGGAATCATGGCCAGCCTACCGTTGTCTCATAACAAATGTAGAGGCCTCCGAGTATGTGGGTACAAAAATCTAAGATCAGTGACTTTAAAGGGCAAGTGGAAACCATACTAACTGCCGAAAAACAGAACCAGCTACATTTTAAACACAGTGGGCACAGAACTTTAATTACCTTAGATTTATTCCGAGGGCTTGTCATCCTATTCATGAGGAAGCTGAAAGTTCGGCTCACTTTGTATTTTTCAGACTCTGACTTGGCAGGTATAATGTATTTATCCCATTCTTCTTCCTGAATTCTACAAAAAAGAATCTGTTACCATGGCTTACCAGGACTTAAAGAGGGAATAAAAAAACAACATATATAATATACACACACACACACACACACACACACACATATATATATGCACACACACGTGTGTGTATATACACTTTTTTCCTCAGGTTTTAATGGTTATTCTAAAGATAAAGATACAAGTTACTAAAAATGTATCTTTTTTTTGAGGAAGAAGGAATTTGTTTATTGAGGGTAAGAGGGTGCAAGCAATATAAAAATCAAAAGCTTATCTGATTTTTCCTTCTCTGCTTCTCAAATGGGGGTTGGATTTTATTTGTACATTTTCTGAGGGTCCCGATCTGCTCATGGAATCCTTTATACAGGGGGAAGCTGTGGGACAGATTCCTAAAGAGACCCTTCGGGAGGACTCTCATTGGGCGGGCGGGAGTGTTGCTCATGTTGCCTACTTCTTTCCCTCTGCTTCATGTGTATTACAAAATAGTCATTGCATGCGATGGTGAGCCCAGCAATTAGCAAGAAGCAGCTCTGGAAGCCCACTTTGCCGTCTCGGCACTGGTCCAGGTCCTTCATTATTTTGTCCACGGCCAGAGGGTCTTTTTGATTTTCCAAAAATCCAGGGAACTCCTTTTCCATGAGTACTCTCAGGTCCTCCTTTGTTAAGTAGCCTTTATCCCCAGCAAACTTGTGAAACATGAAATCATGGTTTCCATGGCGTGTTCCATTTGAGACGGCATTTTGGTGAGGTCTGTTGAAACGTTGGCCTGAGGCGCGGCGGGGACGGTTGGCTGGCTGGGACGCACGGCCAGTCTACTAAAAATGTATCTTATAGATGGATAACGGATGGATGGATGATAAAGCAACCATCTCACAATGTTATCAATTATAAAGTCTAAGTGGTAGACATGGGTATTCAGCATATAATTCCTTCAACTCTTCTGTAAATTTTAAATTTTTCATAATAAAATACTAGAGAAATAAAGGAAAACTTAGAATTTTACTCTGCAAACACTCATCTCCCTATTTACTATGCCAACAGAAATTTCCAAGGGCACAGAGAAGGAAAATAACCAGTAATAGGAAACTGGATTTTATTTGTTTTTGGAACATAGAGATAATACTCAGAAGATACACATTTCCTTTGATAACACAGCCTGAGAAACAGGCTGCCTGGCTCTTGGTTCAGTCTTTCCCACTCAGCCAGGCTATTTGCAATCTGAGACTCCCTAGGTTGTAAAAGAGAGAAGGCTGTCGAGACTTCCCCACAATAAAAGGCAAGCTAAAGATAATGGTATCGAATCTGTGAACACACTGAACATTTATTTTCCCCTAAGCCATATAATCATTCTTTAGAAAAAAACAAGTCCTATCTATGACAAGTTCTATTTCCTCTGAAACTTTCTGATAGCCTTATATTTCTAACATTATCACAAAAAGACAGAGAGAGACAAAAAGAGAGAGAGAGAGAATATATTAAAGATCAACCAAATATCATGTAAAACCAAGTAACACTTCTGTGGAACATTCTATAACCAAAGTCTCTTCCACTTCCCAAACTTCTCATTCATCTACATTAGATGAATAACATTCATCTCTGGGATATACTTTTCAAAAGCTATCATATTACTGATAAGCACCAAAATATATGATCACATTTTGTGACAATGAGTCCAATGACAAATCCTAGGACTTCAGTTTTTTTCATCTGATTAATGACAGGTTTAGACTTACAATTATTTCTAAGGCCCTTTCCCACACTTAAATATAATATGTACTTACCTGATACATATAAAATGGAATTTTAAGTTAGTTATTTATATTAGATATAGATTATTAATATAATTATTTGTGTAAAATAATCGAGAGTTCAAACCTATGAATGCATTTAGAAAAGATGATAAATGGCTTCAGAAGTGCCTCTTGGTCATGCAGATCTAAAGGCACAGGCAGGACAGTGTATGTCCTGCTAACTCAAATTCAGCATGATAAGTGAAAGTGGGTTTGCTACCTAGGGAAAACAGCTCAAAAAGCCGGAAAGGAAAGAGGACAGATGGAACTGAAGGTACCCTATGACTACTCAGAGTCACAAAAGGAGCTTATATACTTTGTTATTTCCTGTCTAGTTCCACAACCACCTCCTTAGATAACTGACTGGTTAATATATTTATAAATTTCCATACCTCTTGTTTCTTAAGCATCCTAATTTGCAAAACTCATGACGTATTATTCAACAGCCTCGCTTTTGGAATGGAGGGGAAAAACAAATTTGAGACCTTAGAAAGAATGGTCTCTGGAACACCTTCTGTGACCCCACCAAGTGCCTTCTAATGTCTATGTCAAGAACAGTCTGGTGAGGAGACCTCAGTCACAGAATTAAAGAATGCTAAGAAGTCCTCCCCGCTACCTGCCTCCCAGCAGAAACACAACTCCACTCTCTTAAAGATCTTTAAAAAAAAAAAAAAAAAGATTTATTTATTTGAGAGAGAGCACTAGTGAGCATGAGAGTGCGAGTGGGGGTAGGGGCAAAGGGTGAGGATCTCAAGCTGACGCCCCACTAAGCACAGAAACTGACTGGGGGCTCGATCTCATGACCCTGAGGATCATGACCTGAGCCAAAAATCAAGAGTTGAAGTCTTAACCCACTGAGCCACCCAGGTGCCCCTCTACTGTCTTAAATAAAAGAAAATTCTGTTTATCCAACTCTTTTCCCAATCCCCTATGCTACAGAAGACCATATTAAAAACAATGTTTCAGTTTTGATCTAAAACCTTTAAGTGGATCACAATTTTCCTATATCCTATATATTACTACAAAATGATATAAAATCACACCATTTAACTCTTTAAACTTAAAGGCTGAGAAAACCTGAGACATGACCAAGTAAACAAAAAAATACTGAAACACTCAATATTAAAAACTAAGAATGGTCATCCCACATGGTAGAAATGTGAATATTATGGACATGATCCACTGTCACATTACGAAAATGAATAACATAGTATAACCTCTGGGCAAATGTAGAAGGCTGGTTGATTCCATGTTTCAAATCTAACAACACTATATTCATCTATGTTACAATGAGTTACGTTAAGGAAGAACTAAGAAGGGAAAAATTGCCAACTAATTTCACAACAGATTTTCAAAAGCTTTTCAATTTATAAGAATCTGGAAAAAAAATTCATTTACACTCTTTTCAAATCCGAGAACAAGATACCTAAACTCTATCATCAATTTGATGACCAATGAAATCATCTTCAAAATAGTTTTACAAACCCCATTCCTCAGAGATTCTCATGGCATTACCTTTTCAGTGAAGATTTTAAGTATCTTAAGAATATGGATCCTTCTCATCTTAATCTTTAAACCTATAATATCTATAACTTATTTTTCAGAGAACTGAATATCTAAGTATTAAAAGGAATTCCCAATATCCAAACTGAAAATAGACAAATGAGACTTTTCTGGACATTCAGATGCTCATTTTTTAAAAAATAAATCAAGTAACAAATGTAATACATTTAAGACAGATAATGTCGATAAAAAACAGTCACGCCATATAATTGTTAAGAAGTTGGTACACCCTGTAAAAAACATTTTTTTAATTTAAAAAAGAAGTTGATACACCCTGAAACCAATACCACAATGTATGTTAACTAGAATTTAAGTAAAAACTTAAAACAAAGAATTATATACTTATAATGAAAGTATTAAACTGTATTTGTCAGCTACTGTATAAACTAACATTTTTGGAGAATTAAATACTACTATATTTTGTACTTAAAAAGAAATGATAGAGATGAAGTGTCTGTTCCTACAGAAAAGATCCTACAAAGTCTGGAGTGATCCCCCTTTTACCTGTCTGCATTCTTTCCCAGAAACTAAGTGATTAATATAAATAAGAGAATTCCAAAGAAGGCAGAGCCCTCAAGTTCAACATGACTAGCGCAAAGCATTAGCAATGGCCAGGGATCCTACTAGAACACCCAATAAGGTATTGTGCACAGACTAAATGAAATGAAAGATCTACTCTACAAGATACACCGGGGATATGACTGAGAAAGTCAGATGCTTTCAGGATGTAGACCAACACAGGCTAAAGAAGAGAAAAAACAGAAGTGACAAAATAAGAAATAAGAAAGGAATACTCCTTACACATACCATCCAAGTTAAAATATTTTGTAGGCTAATATTTAACCAATTACGACACTGGCTTTTTCAGTCTTAAGTCCCTCTCCTAATGCAGAAAAAATATTTTCGATTGAAAAAAAAATCTTTACATTAATCCATTACTTCTCCAATAGTTAAAAAGATAACAGGGAGAAGACTGTTAACCAAAATGATAACCGAGATGATGATCAAATTGCACAACTGAGTAAACTGCCTACATGAGTACCCAATGTACCCAGTGTAAATGTAAAGACACCCAATAGGTCAGTTATTGCTGCTTTTGCTATCATCACTGTCCCCATCATGGCCATGTCCTCTTCATCATCATCCTATCAATAAAGGGTATCCTTAGTCTTCCTATTTGTATCACTTGAAAATTTCTATTCTGGTCTCAAACAAAATACGAATGAATGAACAAATGGAGGCTTTTTCTAAGTGATACTTTTTTTTTTTTAAGGAATTAAAGATTTATTTATTTTTAGAGAGAGAGAGTGGGGAAAGTGGGGGGGACAGAATCTTAAGCAGACTCCCCACTGAGCACGGAAACTGACCTGGGGCCTGATCCACATGACCCTGAGATCATGACCTGAGTCAAAATCAAAAGTCAGAGGCTTAACCGAATGAGCCACCTGGGCGCCCCTTTTTTTATCTAAAATTTAAAACAAAACAGTCCGTCTTGATATATATTAAAAAGTTCCAAAGTTTTAGCATTATTATGACCCACATTAAAGCCCTTTTCACTCTTTTTCACATTGTCTTCTCAAGCCAAACGTTTATGTCATTTCTGGCACTGGTTTTGCTTATAACCCCAGGACTATTTCACAGTGTGACTTATGAGCAGTTACTCAAGACCAGTAGAACTCAACAATCCTGCCTGCTTGCTGGTCAGCTTCCCAAGCCTGACTCCAGCAACAGTTTTGCCTTCTGGGGAAAAGAGAAGCTGAGGTTTCAAGCTTTCAGATCTGCCTGTCAACCAGAAAACTGTGAATGCTTAAAATACTTTCTCTATCACTTATTCTTTCTTTCAAAGTTAACCAAACACTCTAGGCAATATTCCATAAGGAGATATAGCAGAGGTAGTTACGTACTTTCTACATTGGATCAACCAGGGGCCTGTTCCCATAGCAAGTCTTCTTGTCATGGCAGGCAGACGCAGCAAGAACCTAATGCCTTTCTAAAGCAGGTGATCCTCACCCTGTTGCTCTCATTGGTCCAGAACATTGGAGGTGTTTGTCTTTGAAAATAACCCAAAAGAGAATACTCTGTCCCCAGTCCTGAGACCTGCACATCTGGAGACTCACAGAGCAGGCTGTCATACAGATCACAGAGGGAGCAAAGCATTCAGGCAGGCTCATTACACAGAAACCTCTCACAAACTATTGAACAGATCTCAAGATTCATGTGCAAATATTTCCAAAGATGGCAAGCAGACCCTCAGGAAAACTGGAACAGTTAAAATACCTTTTTTCTCTTGGTGGTTCCGGTAAGCTGTAAGCTCTTTGCTCTACAAGACACAGAACAATAAAATGAAAACTGAGGCAGACAAACTAGCAGTCATGTGTTAGTCTAAAATGCACACGCTCAACCGTATTTTATCATTATTCCCACCAGCAGTTAGAAAATAATGAGAAAACAAGTCATTTTATGTAAGCAGGGCATTGCTCTGGGTATCTTTATCACCGTCCCTAGTTTGGAGAGAACAGGGGGAGGCCACTATGTGGCAACATTTAATGACTTTATGAAGTTGGCATCAGCAGGAGGCAGCAAACATTTTCAGCATTGCAGAAAATTAGTTCTGTCATTTTGGATATTTCTCATTAGAGCTTTCATCCCTTACTTGTAATACTAATTCATTCCCTAACATACAGAATCAATCCATATGTTAGCTGCCTTTTAGGGAAGCTCAAAAGAAAAGTCTTGAAGGCCAGCATAAGGAAGAGTCCATTTTAATATAGCTGCAATGCCTTCATAAAATCCTAGCAGCAGCCACTTCAGAGATGTGCTTTGTGGTAGGAAAGGGAGAATCACTTTCCCTCCTGGACCTGGGGGTAAGGGAGATGGGAGATAGAAGAACAGTCTCAGGCAAGAAGCTGAGCACCATCTTGTTTCCAGAAGTGGAGTGCTCATCAGAGCAGAGACACTGATTTAGACAATGAGAGAGAACTGAAGGACACTGTACAGCACATCATCTACAGAGCAGGGACAATTCCTTTACCACCATAGTCCAGAAGAGTGAAGAGGCAAAACCAGTTTGCAAAGGAAAGTGCATCAGATACATAAGGAGGAAAACTAATTAACACATATCCCCTGAAATGTGTAAATATCAATGTTCAATCTAATACTACCTTGTATGTAACAAAAAATCTGCTTTGAAGAATTTGAAGGATTTTATTGCCATAAATATTAAATATTCCCCAAATTAATTCATGAGCAGAAATCATTATGCTTATTGTAAACATGCTGAGATGCCAAGAGATTAAGCCCCATGTCCAAGATAATCAAGCTAATAAACTAATGGAACCAGCCTCAGGCAACTGGACAAAGTCTAATAGGATTCCATCTAACAGTGCACAATGATTTTCAGAAGCACATTCACTTCACTCCTCAAATTCTTAAAAGTAAAACACTTTTGTCTTTCTTGATGAGGTTATAATTATTGAGAATATTCCTGTCTATCTAAATACACAATGTACCAGGGGAAATTACAGGATAGGATTTTGTTTTGTATATACAAGTATTAAATAATGTTGCCACATCATCGCACCCTTGGCACCCCAAAAAAACATGAGAAATGATAATAAGTAACCTCTTGGAAATGACAAAGATGAGAAAACATCACAAATAAGAATAAAGAGGGCTAAAACACTATCCTATTTTGTATATCTACTTTATAGCTCATATATAGGAGCTTCCAACTGGGGTGAAAGGAGACTTGGATTCTGTTCAAATAGAGAAAATTTTTAGCACTATTCCAAACACATCAGGAAGGAACTTAAAGTAATGTGAATGTCAATTTAACTTTGATTAATCTAAATGAACTAAACAATGAAACGTCACATCTTTGAACTAGTCAAGCTTTCACTCTTGTGCTTTGATCACACCTACAAACACACACACAGAGTTAAAACTATTCCCTCTTCTTTAAGAGCTAATTTATTCTTCATATACCTATGGTTTACCCATTGGAATCTTTGTGCATTTATTATGTAGCTTCAACCTACATTGCCTATTTGTGATTCTTACCTCCTGGAGACGGAACTTCATTGAAATAGCCCTATTTTTAAATATACTGTCTAAAGGTAAGATTTTATTAACAGAAAAGCCAAAGGAATTGATGTCAGTTTTTTTATTCTAACTCAAATGCAAAGATTTAAGGATTGTATGTAAGGCAGATATCCTTCCTTATTCATTAAAGAATTCATAAATCAGGGCTTTTTTCCCCATAAACAATCAATTTCCTCTCAGTCATCTGGTCAACAACTTCAAACTTCTGAACTGACTTTATTTTTTTTTTTTTGTTTGTGTTTTTTTTTTTTTTTTTTTATGTTATGTTAATCACCATACAAGACATCATTAGTTTTTGATGTGGTGATCCACAGTCCATTGTTTGCGTATAACACCCAGTGCTCCATGCAGAACGTGCCCTCCTTAATACCCATCACCAGGCTAACCCATCCCCCCTCCCCCCTTTCCTCTAGAACCCTCGGTTTGTTTCTCAGAGTCCATCGTCTCTCACGGTTCATCTCTGACTTTAAAAACTAGTCACACTACAGATATAATGGCAAGCTACCATTCTGCACACTACAAAGACTTAGAAACATTTTCTAAATAGTTAAATTATGAAGTTAGTTCCCTATCTAGGACCATCAGTGAAAAGATGTCAAGGTGCCATTAAAGGAATCCTAACCTAAACCAAGGTTAAGGAGACCTGGAGATCCCAGAAAGACTCATGATATATCTATATATCTATCTACACATTAAAAAAAAAAAAAAAACCAGGGCAAGTTTAATCCATCTTTTTCCTGTCCTCTCAAGGTGGCTGTATCTTTTCTTTCTCTTAGTCCTTTTCTTCATTCCACGTTCCAAAAATTTAAATCATGTTTACTTGCTTTCTCCTCTTCCAGCAAGGATTCCCAGAAAGAAAAAGGAAAACAACAACAACAACAACACAAAACCTAGCACTTGTTTTGTGCTCTATGTATCTTCATTCAACAAATAATTACTGAACACCTCCCATATGTAAGTCATTGTTTTAGGATGGCAGTTCCAACCATAAAGATTCTGTTGTCAGTATTGCTTCACATGGCATAAAATGGCAACAATAATGTAATGAAGAATAAGTAAAAAAAGAAGAGAAAAAAACTTGTGAAATAAATTCTATTTTAAATATTCTATAATAGGAAACCACAAATACTTGGGCACATCTTGCTTTCTGAGTCTTTTAAGACTCTTAAGGATAATAGGCAAGTGAAGCATTAATATACTAACAAACATTTTATTATCATGCTTTATATTACATATGGACATGAATACTATCAAATATGTCTTTAAATATAATTACTACAAAATATATTATGTACAGAAATACCTTTGTTTCAAAATAAAGTAAAAAATTGGAATTGTGGCTGAAAGGAGATACAAGGGCAGCCCTGAGTTGCCCATAATTATTCTGTTTATTAATCTGAATTCAGTTTTGAAAATCTGTCAAGCTGTAGGTTTATGATGTGCACACTTTCTAAAAGTGTATAAATTAAACTTCTATTGTATCAAAGTTTTAGTTCTGGTTGTTTACATTGCCCCAAAGAATGCTGAGATACATTTACTGATGTTTCAACTCTTTGCTTTTACTGCAATTCTCTCAAGTCCCTTGCTAAATACAGAAAGGGAACAAATCTATTTTGCTATGCTTTGTTTTAGTTAGATTTCAGCAATTTACACATAGGGCAAAGTAATTTTTTATGATTTCCTGAAAATCCTCTAAAGCTCTCATAATGATGAACCTAGAATAAATTTTCATTTCCACTGTCCTTGAGGAAAACACTTCGTTCAAAAAATAAAGCAACAGAGAGGTATGTACATATGTGTATTTTCATCAAAATGAAATCTATATCTTGACTAATATCCAATGAGAAAAGGATTTTGCTAAGCCTAGAAAAATCAATTATGAAAATGAAATTGAAAATTGCCTGCTACTTTTGTGTATTTTATATACTTTTGCTAACTGAAAATCTGCCCTGGAATAGAATGCTCTCAAGACCAAATGGTAAAGAATGCTTACCTTCACTAGAATTGCACACTGTAAAATCACGCACCAACCGAGCTTTTCCTAAAGAAATTTTGGGTGATGAGCAGGAGTAAGAACGTGAGCGGACTCCAGAAAGCAAGGATTCCTAAAAGAAATCATACGAAAGTTTTTTAAAAAAATTCTACAGAGGACTTGAAAGTATATGTTCACCACAAATGTTATTGAAACAGCATCTCTGTAAAAAGAGTTAATGTGAATCTTACTGATGTAACCTCATTTTTTGTTTTTCTTCGCCTACCACAACTTTTAAAATTTTACTGTCTTTTCAATACATTAGTAAACTTGAGCTTCCTGCCCCATATATACTTTAAAATGCAATTATGACATTCTAATCAAGTTGGTTAAAAGTGAAAAATTATGTCAAATGATTTTTTCTCTGCATATTCAACAATGAGTCACTTTTTTTCACCTCTGTTATCAGGCAGGGGTGTTTTTTTTGGGGGGGGTTGGTATTTTACACTGTAGTATCCAAGCAAAATTCCATATTAATTGATAGCTTTTTATTTCATAATTATTAGAAGTTAGAAGAATTGCCACTTACAAGAGTTTTTTTAACATCCAAACAGCTATTTAAATTTATAATGTTAGCTGCAGCCTCTCAGGAAGAATGCATCAGGTCAATGTACAATTCCTCCCAGTCTGTGCCCACCTTTCAAAAAGCTTTCCATATAGCACTTCCTGAGATGGTATCTGAATTTCACTGATTTATGTACCTTTAATTTTTTTAAGTGACCTATATTTTTGTTACTGTTTTCACAATTACAGACTGTTTTTATCATTATATTTGCAACATATGTGACAATGTAAGATGGCAAGATAAAACATGGTTATCTGACATGTTCTGGAAAATTTAAATGAGTATGCAATAGAACACCAATAAAGCCATTTATGGTACCCGACTCTCGTCCAATAGGGACCTAGTGGCCTTTCGACTGATCCCATTCATCTGTTTTTAAGATATCACTTAGAGATAAAATAAAGTCATGCAAAATTTGTTACTGAAATTAAGCCATTAGCAACTATCCTTCACAAGCACTGGTAGCTTCTATTCTCCCTAAGTGAAAACATAGTTTCCCTAAGTCCACTGGTTTAGTTAACAAGCCTGGAGGAAAGCTGAAACAGAAGCCTGCCCCCATCACAAAGGGCCTTGGGCCTTGGCTCCTGAATGTCTGATTAGGGAGGGTCCGCTGGTTCTAGACATCAGACAGCTTGAGCTGTCCTATACCCTTAATGGTGACTAGTCACAGAGTGCCAGAGCCAAATGTCACCCCCTGCATTTAAGTCATGTATAGTAATTATTTTTCATAACTATGGAACTTTGAAAATTAGCCAGAATTCTTTGGCAAAAAGTTACACAGGGCAATTACAGAGGCAAGGCAAGATACATTTTATAGGACGGAGTCTTACTGAAAGTGAACAGCATGAACTGATTCACAAAGACTGAATTACTTTTCCTTCCAAGTAATGAGAGCTTTTTCACAATTCCATTCAAAATGCAAAGAAGTATCTACATTAACAACCATACCCATTTCTTATCATCCAGAAATACCACATGACATTCAGGTTCAAAATATCATAACTACTCTCCAGGCCTCAGAGCTGAGGGGAAGGATTCAGGAACTGCATTCAGAAGGCCTGGATTGAGTACTCAATCTATCACCAAGCGGGGGCAACCTGGACGAGACATCTCATCTCTCCAAAACCTCATTTACTCAAAAATTAAAAGTAATACTTATGTCCCAGCTAAGAGAAAATTATAAATTTCGTATATGTCTAACTCATGTTTTAAATACTGCAGAGTACACTACAAAAATAAAGCATTATCATAACTACCAGATATTCACAGTAAGAGAAATTTGGACACAGCACACATTGTTTTATGGGAGTAAACTTAATTTAAAAAGAAAACAAGTGGACAATAGAAATTGAAAAGGAAGAAAACACATGTGCAAACACAAAAAGGCTTTGTCTTCAAGGTTGGAAGAGTTCATTATTTAAAAAAAACAAAAACAAACAAACAGAAAACAACCATAACTAAACTGTAATGTGAAAAACGTATATGAGAGAAAAGTCCTCTCCTATGGAAAAACTGACAAAGTTTATGGTGTCCCACATTAGTTCGTGTAGCCAGAAATGCTCAACAAATATCACCTTTGCCTGTAATATTACTTACCTTATCATCTGAGCCAAGTAAAAATGTATTTGAGCAAACAAGATCTCTCCCTCTGCTGAAGGGATGCTGGCAGAAATCATTATATAAAACAGCAAAATTTTCCAAGTATGTGAAAGATTGTATGTACTGATGGTGAATTAATGAAACATAAACCCACCATTTTAAGGACTATATAAATTAAACAGAGTGGGAGAGATTAAAAAGACAATCAGACAGCTCATGAGTTTCCAAAAAAAAAAAAAAAAGTTCACACATGTGAATGAAACATAATTTGCCCTTTGGATAGAGGTGGACTGCTTTAGATAACATAGCTTCCTAAGCTTACAATAAACAAAATTAATACTAATAAGAATACCTTCAACTGCAGGTTACTTGATAAAGAAAGGGACTCTGTCCTGGAGATAATAAAATCTGGTTCAGTGGTGGTCTCAAAAGAGTCCAGTTCATCCCCACTAGGAATCCCAGTTCTTGAGGAACTCTGAGACACTGGAGTGTAGCAAATGTGTGACCGCTCAGAATGCCCTTCCCCTTCACTGTCGGCATCCAGGGCATCGAGGCTAGAACTAAAGCACAGAGGAAGTAAATAAATAATCACGTAAGCCAACAGACTGACCGACAGACTTGCTGGTTTCTATTTCTCTCCATTCAAATTCTCTCCTTGGCAGAAGGTGCAACGGATACTCATTTAAAACGTTTCTAACAAAATTTCTAAGAGATTTTCAATTTTTATCCTCCCCCCACCCAAATCTCCTCCTTTTTAAATAAAATGTTATGTTTCCCCAAACGAACATTTCCACCTAGCAGAAACCATTGCGAGTACTCTAAGAAACAAAACCTGGTGCAAGCTAGTACTATCCTATTTGTTTTATAAATGTAATTACTACAGGCCCTAAGTAGTTACCCTTCGAATATTAAAACTGTGCAAGAAACAGAACCCCACGGTTGTTTGGGAGGCCTCTGGGGGATGGCAAGTGAAACTATGCAGCAGGGGACTAGAAAGCTTGGGCAGTGAGACATGTTCAAGGACAGACTGCAAAGGTCTCACATCCGAGTTGATGGCAAGACCTGAGTCAACATGAGTCAAGTGGGCTCCCAAATGTGTCATGTTAGATTATCATTTTTAGAGATTTTAGCTGAGCAATCCACCTCAGAAACAGGTAGTACTTCTGCTCAACGACCGCTGTTCTTTCCTAATTTAACTTTAATAACCAGTAAATTAAAAGGAAAGAATGTGACCTTCCACATTCCTGGCTCATTCCGTAACATTTATATTTTAAACCACTCAAATTCTAAGGCCAAGAGCGTCCACAGGCATGTGAATGCTGGATGCATTTTTAAATGTATTTTTCTTTCATTGTTGCAGTTCTGGAGTTAAAATTTTAATAACCCACAATGAAACCATCTTGATTATGAAATATGATGCAGAAAGTGAAACTCTGAATGAATCCACTGTGGTTATTTTTCTTAAAAATCCATAAGCTATTTAGTGCCCACTGAATATCCATGTAATAAATTATGACACTTGCCAAAGAGACTATAATACACATGTCTCTAATACCAACACTTAGGTTACTCTCGAATCCTGAACTATTGCATGGGCCTTCTGGGGCACCAGCAAACACAGAAGTGAAGGCCACAACTGGCATCACTGAGGATTTCCAAAGTAGGGTCCTTTCTCCTTTCAGAACCCATTGAAAGACTTAACCTTGGCACTGAGCAGAGAACAAACTAGAGGTGGACCTCACACTTTAATTCAACACATGAATGTTGAAGTCCATAAAAGTATTTCTCATAAAAAAACAAAGCTTAGTGTGAAGAAATACCTTCTGGCAAATGCTGGTGTTCTGAATGTTACAGCAATATAATTAGAGATATACTAAGGTGCTATGTAGTTTCCTTAATTCAACGATAGTCTGAGAGTAAACAGAGCCCTTAGGGGTGGGGGGGGGTGGTTGTTAAAGGTCTGCTGATGCCTTGTGCCTCTGTAGTTCTCTTTCAGCTTGTGATCTTGTGATGTGTCTTTTAACTTTATTAATACAAATAAATTTTAGTTCAAATGGCTGGCTGCCTGCCATCATATTCTAACTTAACAAAAGTCTTTCCAGTTATATACAGCATTTCTCCATCATTGTGAGTACATGCTAGAAGTATCAGGGATTATTTTACCTTGCACACTATACATTAAAACATTTCTTTAAAAAAAAAAAGATTTTATTTTTAAGTAATCTCTACACCCAAGGTTGGGCTCGAACTCACAAACCTGAGATCAAGAATCACAAGTTCTACCAACTGAGCCAGCGAGACACCCCTAAAACATTTCTTTTTCTACTAATTTAAATTGGGCTACTATTTTTCCTCACTAAGTTATTAAGGTAAGCTATTTGTTATCATAAATCATATTCTTCAGGATTACCTCTCAGTTCTCATTTTACAATACTACTTTTCAAGATCCCATTAGTGAAACATGAAATCCATTGTAGGTTGTGACCATATTTTTCTTTTAAAATAGTGTAGAATAGAAAATATAAGAATTCATTCCACATGTTATTTCATAAAACATTTATTTAAATTTTTTGTGTATTTATGTGATGGGGTGTCATGGTGTGATAAGCATTTCTTACTATGAATGTTGGTAAAACAAAAAAGGTTTTCAAAATATAAGTTTTAGAATGAAATAAACTCTTCTATCATCTCATTTTCTTCTTCTTGTTACGCAGTTTAAAATAAATGTTGCTTTGCTTATATTCCCCTTGTAGCTTCTCAAAACATCAAAGTTTCAGTAACATACAGTTATGTATTGTGCATATTTTACTTTCACCAAAATGTTTTAAACCTTAGAAAATTTAGGGTTTAGGTCTCTGTGTTAACCTCAGTTTTTATTGTGTGCCCCCAAATTTCTCCTTCATGAGAAGTTCCCAGCCTCTCAGCCCCTCAGCCTCTTCATGGTACATTTCACTTTGAGTTCATTATCAATCATGTTACATGCTCCGAGCCTGACACCCACTGAAGGAAGAGTCCCGCTGCCATCCCAGGGCCAAAATGGGGCTTTCTTGGATCATAAGTCCTTTGTCCTCATTCCTACATTTTTTTGGAGGAGACAGAACATCTTTATTAGATAATGCCAAATTATTTTCCAAAGTTATTACACAATTTTCACTCCTATCAACTGTATATAAGTGTTTCCATTGTATACACTTGCACCAAAATATGGTAACTTTAAAATATTTGCCTACCAAGTGTACAATGTTATTTCATCGTGGTTTTCCTCTATTATATCTTACTTTCAAGTCAAGGAATATAGGAATCTGAAAGGGGGCAATATTTTGATGTAGAGATAAAAGTGGTGGGGACAATAAGATATAATAAAATATAATTTCACAAGTCCAGCTACAAGGTTCTTTGATCTTCTACACTTCTCCTCTAGAATATAGCACCTTACCTTCTTTTCTTCAGATGACTTTGTTCCTTTTCAAATCCATGATGACCAAAGGAAAGATTAAAATTGGAAGCATATGAACTAGTTGGTGACGGGAAGGACTGCTGAGCTTCAGTATTTGAGGTCACTTCCTTGTTCTCACTTAGTGGGTACTTTCCATGGCTGGTTTCAGCAGCAATGATATGCTTGCAGTTCTGAGGTCCCAGAGTAGAACCCATGGATTCAGGGCAGGCGTTTGTAGTGATTCCTTCTATATTAATGTAGTTAATATCCAAATCGCCAACCTGGTAGTTGAACGAAAAATATTTGCTGAGCAAAAGCAGGAGAGATTGGCTGAACTGAGAATAAAATTTTCCCAACTGAACAAGCTTCCACTTTTTTTACCGTGTTTTGTTTGTTCTTGTTTTGTTTTATGTAAGCAGAGAATCCTTTCATGATGCTTTTGTTCACTTGGCTGCTATCCCACCATTCACAAAAGGAAGAAGACCAAGTGAGTGTTTTATAAAGTTGTTCTTTACCAAGAAACCAAAAATGGACTATGCTTTGAAGATTGTGTGAGCCACTGACTCAAAGGGGGATATATTTTAAATACTTGAGCAAAAACTAAGGAGTAGGCAGGTTTATTTAAAAAGTAGTTTATAGGAATCTGGATAACCAAGGTAGTGGTGGTCACATAAACCTGACTCTCAAAAAAACAAAACAAACTACAAACTAAAATAAGAATAAAACTACCTAAGATGAATGGACTTAACTAGAAAACACAAAATGCCCCAAACGTCAAATTATCTGTAAATAATAAAATTAACACCAAATCTCAGCAAGCAACCTGTTATACTGCTGCCATAAGCCTATGTACAGAATATAAGAGGTCTGGAAAATTCTACACAGCAGAGAAAAGAGGGAGCTAATGGAGGGCCTAAGACCAACCTAAAATCAGCACTGGAAAGAGAAAGTGCAGCCTACACCTATGAAAAACAATCCTTGATTTAAGGAAGGGGCTTAAAAATATCAGTGATCTGAGGTGGCAGTCATCAAAGGCATCACTTCTGAGGGAGAAGACAGCAACAAGAAAAAGGATGACACTGTCTGGTGACAGGGTAGCAAAGGGAGAAAGAAGCAAAAGGGGAAAATGTAGAGTCCTAAATCTTCATCATCCTAATAATTTACTATGACAAAAACAATCAAGGAATGCCCAAACCAGTGCATGAGAGTCAGCTGAGTAACAGGAGATGTATAGACACTCAAACTCTCTTCCTGCAAGACAGTTAATACTTTAAAAAGAAGATAGTAATTTTACTGAAAACAAACTTGGTAAATCAAAGATAAGTAATGGGACAAATTATTTTCCTGTGCCTCATGACACAATGCACTGAGAAGGACACAACATCACTTCTGTAATAATCCTGCTTACCAGACATAGCCTGAATCCAATCATGAGGAATTATCAAACAAACCAAAATTGAAGGACATTCTGACAAAAACAAACAAAATCCTGATCTGTATTCTTCAAAACTATTCACTCCATAAAAGACAAATACTAAGGAACTCTTGCAAATTATAAGAGACTCAAGAGATAGGACAACTAAATTTTCTCTTGCTACAAAGAACATTGGGATGATTGGCTAAAATTGAGCAAGGTCTGCAGACAGTTACTACTATATTAATGGTGATTTCCTGATTTGGGTAACTATAGATGCTTAGTAAGAGGATGACCAAGTTTTTTAGGAAATATACACCATGAAAGACTGAGGGATAAAAAGGCACCAAATTTTCAATTTGCATGAAATGGTTAATATTATATACTGAGTTTCATCATTTGCATGTACAGAAACATACTATTCAGAGTATAGTTAAGCAAAAATGTGATAAAATATTAACATTTGGGGAATTTTTATAAAGAACATACATGTATGCTTTGTACTGAATTACACAGGCTTGAAATGATGTCCAAATAAAATGAATTTTTTTTCAAAGTAGTTTATATGACAGAGTAATTTTCAAAGTAGTTTCTACCACATATATTTCCTCATTAGGTAGGTTGATAACTGAGAATTCATTGGAAACAGCATCACAAACAAGCTACCAATTTTTTTACAGTTCTGTGCCAGGTTGAGGCAGAAGAAGGAAATGAGACAAGAGTCTTCTCAGATACTGATAGCAATTATTTTAAATATGCAGAATTTGGACTCGTTATCATCCTTGCTATTCAAATAGACATAGAAAGAGTAAAAGAAATCCTATAACTATACTACACGGACAGAGTGAACTTCGTGATTTGTATCCATACTTTTAGTTTTATTTCTGTTTTCATTGCACAAATTCAGCAATCCTCTACTACATTTCGGTTTATCAGTTAGGCTGTTTGAGTTCTCTTGAAATGCATGTTTCATGTTATTAAAGCAATACTTATCTCAAGATATTCTGAAACAGAAATTATATTCTAACCTCATCTTTGGTTTGGGAAGTTTTGCAAGTTTAATGTATCTTACAGCACAGTTTTCCCCATGTAATACTGAAGCATGTACAGTTTTAGCTACTTGCGGTAAGTGAAATATTTGCAGTATTCACTGAGGCTTAGAGCATAGAGATAAGGACTCAAGTAGTTCACTTAAATGCTGAGAAAATAGAGCAACCATTAGAATCAGAATGTGGCTAGAGCACACCAAACACAACTGCCCTGTATCTCCAAAGAATGTCCCCAAAACTCCCTATTTGTCCTAACCTCTGCTTCATCCTAGATTTCTACAAGTAGGGCTGACATTCAGCTACTTTATGCCAAAAAAACTATACCAGGTATTTACAGCTGATGTCCATTCTGACTGCTCCCTCTGTCATCCTGAATATCAGCCCAATCTATACCTTTTATACTATGCATTTGATGTAACAATGTTTGGAACAGAAAAGGAAAAAAACCAAGATATTTGACTCAAAGGGTGAAATTGAGATCTACTAGACAGAAAAGTTTATATCACAGAAAACATCTCTAAGTGACAGGGTACAATATATGCATAATAACAACAACAAAAAGGGTAAATTTCTTTATTGCTCAGTAAGCATATATATGGTGCATCTTATATGGGGATTAGGTTTGGAAGTCTGTGGAGAAGGCAAAAAATTATGCTTTGTTAAAATTACCCTTGAAAATCTCTAAAATCAACCATAAAATCATATGCAGAGCATAGAAATCTTCAGATCTAAAACTATGTTTTAATTTTTATAAATATTAAAATTTGAGAATCGCTGAGCTAGAGAAAATAAAGGATAAATCCATATATCGATGCACATGCAAACCACAAGCCTCTGTGAGATCTAACTCACAAACCTCTGTCAGAGACTGGGTACAGCATTCTAAAGGGTTCCAACTTCCCTGTAGTATAACAACAGTCTCTTTTTTTTTTTTAAACATCATTCTCTTTTAATATTAAAGCTCTATAATCTTAGTATATGTTAACAGGTGTGTTACAAGGATTAAAGAAGTAATGTATATGACAGCATTATATGGGGCTGGCATCAAGCTCTTGCTCATAACTGCTGAATTTGAATACAAATATTACTTAATCAGGTCATATACACAGTTGTGTTTTGTTTTGTTTTGTTGAAAAGCTGTAGAGAAGATACTAGCTTCCCAATTGTCACTTCCTATTTTGGCTCCATGCAAGAGCTCTCACACTCTTCTCACTTGACATTGTCTCAAGACCCCTCCCTACAGTTCTTCTTGGTGGGGTAACAAGTGCTGTGCATGAAAGGAAAACCTAAGTTAAGTGCTCATATGATGAAGCTCCACTGGAGCATCACCAGGGCCACACTTAGGCTGAAATTTTCAGAGCAACACAATGATGACTATAATTCTCATTTACTCAGGTTTTGGAAAGAGAGCAAGATCCCTCTGGTAACACCCGTCACGCCTTACCTGATCTATCACCATACAGTTAGCATAAACTTCATCACCTCCATTCAGCACACCAGAGAGTCGGCCTGCAGCAAAGAATGTTGGGGGATGCTTGGATTTTTTGAAGACATCAAAAGAGTGATCTAGAGGAAAAATGACAACAGGACAGAAAAAAAGTAAATGTAATTTATTTTACAGTCAAACTTTACCTTCTTTTTTTTAATTTAGATTTTATTTGTTATTTGAGAGAGAGAGAGACAGAGCAAGAGAAAGAAAGAACAAGCAGGGGGCAGAGGGAGAGGGAGAAGCAGACCCCCCATTGAGCAGGGAGACCAACGTGGGGCTCCATCCCAGGACCCTGAGAACATGAGCTGAGCTGAAGGCAGACACTTAACCCACTGAGCCACCTAGGCACCCCAAACTTTACCTTCTTAATCGAACAGTTAAAAAAAATGCAGACTGAATTTTTTAAATGTGTTCACATTATTAATATCTATGTGCATGTATTTTCTGTTCTACATTCAAACCTTCTCAGTTATCTAAAACCTAAAGAATAGTTATAGATAGTATGTGCCCATTTCAAGCACTATTTTTCCAATCATAAGAGATTTTTTATAAAATCATTAGTTTTTTTTTTTTTTTTTTAATTTGAGAGACAGCATGTGAGACAGAGAGCACAAGCAGGAGGGAAGGGCAGAGGGAGAGGGAGAAGCAGACTCCCCACTGAGCAAGAAGTCCAATGCAGGGCTCGATCCCAGAACCCTGGGATCATGTCCTGAACCGAAGGCAGACGCTTAACCAATTGAGCCACCCAGGCACCCAAAAAATCATTCGATTTCTGCTTTCAATTTCTAATAGATAAAACTAGAGTTCATTTTACTTTATCAATAACTTGGAAGCATTTGTGATTGTACTACAAGTTCATTTTACTTTATCAATAACTTGGAAGCATTTGTGATTGTACTACAAGCCTCAAGGCCACTGCAGTGTTCAGGCTCCATACCCTTTACTAACGGACCAAAGACAGTACGCAGTCTAGGAGTTCTGAATGAATACGCATACTCTTATAGAGATTGTTGCTTCTTTTTTAATTATCGAAATGTTTTTGTTTCCGTGTTCTCGGCTTTGCTACAAATAGATGAGGTTGCTCAAAGTTGAGTTCCAAAGAGTTGAGGTGCTACTGTATTAGTAGGGAACAGGAAGTTGAAGGCAGTAAAACACAGTGGAGCCAGAATGCCTCATTTCCTCAGACTTTGGCTCACTACCTTTACAGAGTTTCCTCATCTATAAAAGCAGATTATCATGATGCTTTCCCTGTCGTGGGGTATGAGAGTTAAATGAGTTCAAACAGGGAAAGCACTAAATACATGCCTAGCATTTAGCAAGAGCTCAATGAATATTGTCAGTGTTACTACATTTTGTTATTAACAGTTATTTCAGGCATGTTCAATGTGAGGTTACTGATACTAAGAATATGGTGTTACCATCAGTATTATTAATACTATCTTAGTGTTATAGTAATAGTAAATTATCAGTGTCTGTAAATGACTTTAGTAGGGTGAATTCAAAGGTGTACTTGTAGCAGATGTCATCCTCCCTGACATTCCAGCATATGTTCTCAAGGGGACACAAAAGGAATAGTGTTGCCCCTGTTCTATCAAAAATAGCCCTAATCTCACCACCCGTCCTATGTCATAGCATAAAAGCCAGGTAAGCCCATAGGAGTGAATCAGAAAATGAAAAAAGATTAGTAACTGTTGGGCTGATGTACTTCTGCTGGAAGACATTATAAAAGTTACAAAAATATATCAACTGTATGAACCAAATGGCATCAGTTTCAGATTCTGTATTTTAACCTACCTGCTGACCACAGAACACCAAAATAAGATTTCATCGAGCTTCTCAAGTAAATATACAGTGTAAATGGAAACCATTTTCTTATATCTATAATGTCTTCTTTTATCAATTTATATAGCTAGCACTATGACAAAGTCCACAAATACTTCACAAGTATTACCTTTATGATCAATTACTATATACTTTCATTGTAATTACACAAAGTAAAAGCACGTTCCAAAGATTATAAATCAAGAACCTGACAAAATGCTTTCAACATGTTCTGAAGAAAATACGTGCTTAAATGTCATTTTACAGAATGTTTGAAAAACAGTCATGAATAACTCAACATGGCCCTCTGAAGCATAATTAATCTAGTTTAAGTGCTCTACAATGTTTTTTTTTTAAGATCTTATGTATTTGAGAGAGAGCATGAGCAAAAGAGAGTGCGCACAAGCAGGGGGGAAGGGCAGAGGGAGAGAAAGAAGCAGATGCCCCGCTGAGCAGGGAGCCTGATGTGGGGCTAGATCCCAGGACCCTGGGATCATGACCTGAGCCAAAGGCAGATGCTTAACCGACTGAGCCACCCAGGCACCCAAACTGCTCTATGATGTTTTAAGTTTACACACTATAACATCTGCCATCACAATTGGTAACTTTGGCTAAGCTGGGGTTTAATTTATTTTCTGTGTAATTTGATCACAATGATGTAATTTGTTAACAAAGATGGGTCCTTAATCCCTTATCTCCAATTCTGAAATCTAGAAAGCTCTGAAAATCTCAACTCTTCTTCATAAATTTGGTTCATAAACATATTTGGTGCAAAATTTGACCTGAACCACATGAGGCCATGTCTAGTTTTTATTTACCTCACCTGGTGTGAATATTCATACATTTTGCTGTAGAAATACTACCACACTGGATGATGGCATTGCCAGTCATATCATATTATAAGCACTATCCCAAAAAGATCTGAAAATTCTAAATTCCGAAACAAATCTAGTCCCAATAGTTTCAAGCAAGAGACTGGATATCTATGTTATTACAGCAGATATTAGATCAATATTTCCCAAGATTTTATCATTCCTCTGCCAAATTCACAATTTTGCCATATCTACTTACTACCTGCATTATATTCTCTAGTACTTGTTTTTAGATTGACCCACCCTTTTTTCTCTAAATAAAATGAATTTTAAAAGAAATACCTTATCCTCACTATAAACAGAAAGTCAGTATTCCCTGTCAAAACTGGAAGAGAATTATACAGACTAAACCAATGAAACCACCTTCTGACTGAATATAGTTGCCAATCAAAGCTGAGAGTCTACAAGGGCTGCTTGTTCACTGTCACGAAAGGAGATTTGGAAAGACTGGAGAGATGTTAAAGATGCAGGGGGGTGCGAAATGAACTTTCTCCTTGAATCAACAGAAAGATCAAGAATAAAAAGAAAAGGAAATACCTGCCTTACTGCGCGATTCAATGTCAACGAGCATTAGGTCGGGAAACCAGCTTCAAGATCGACAGTGCCCAGAAGAATTTACCCTACACTTTGGGAAAATTGCCTAGACCATGTCATCATCCTGTCACTTAGGTAATGACTCCACTGAGACAATTCATCTTGTTGGCAGGGGGGGACATTACTGTACAAAATCACACGACAGTGGTGACAATGGAAAAATCTCTGTCTCCTCTCTAGATCTCTCATCCGTAATCTACCACGTAAGATTTTCTGGGTCACTCAGTGCAACAATTTATAAGATTGGTCCAAAAGTCTTTTTCAGTAGAACTCTAGAGCATTCATAGCCTCCTCTTGCCAAAGGATACCAAAGGGTAATCAGATCTGCAAGTGAACACAGATGAACAAACCAGAAGATGACAGCCTTCGAAGACCTCCACTCCTTTATTAACTTCAACACTAGTCATTGCAGTTAATGGGCTTCCAATCAGCAGAATGAGATTTATTACAGGAAGAAAAATAAGTCTTCAAGAATACTTTCAAATAATCACCAGCTACATATATTAAAGTGGCTAATTTATCTTTGTCTCCATCGTTCAAAGAAAAAAAGAAATTCAAAGAAAAAGCTACAATGGCTTCTTTAAAAAAAAAACTAATCTTATCAAGATTTAAGATATATTTCATTACTTCCACTTTAGTAGCAATTAAGTGAAAAATAATTGCCAAAAAAAAAAGAATCCTTCAGGTCCTTTCTCAATAAGCATATACAGATAACATGCAATAAGAAAATCAGCTCTCTGTCTTAAATGATGCTGTTTTTAAGACAGTCTTCCCTAGCAAAAAGTTAACTTTACAGTTCTGTTGATGACATTTATTTTTAATATGTGGTAGACCCATATTTCAAAGGCAGTACAAAAGGAACCAAAACTCAACTGCCATCCAAATGGCTGAAAATTTTAAATCAGTGAAGAACAATGCATTGCAGTCATTAAGAGCTAGGGCCCTGGGCTGCTTGAATTCTAAGCCCTACTTCACCAGCTATTCGCTGTGTGACCTTGGGCAAGTTACTTAACCTCTCTACACCTCCATTTCCTGATCCATAAAATAGGGAAGATAACATATCTCCTAGGATTATCGCAAGGATTAAGCTACTTAATATTTTAAGTGCTTGGACATCATGTGACACAAAGTAAGCCCTACAACACACTTGCTATTATCATACTAGTAAATGAGGCTGTCTAATTTTGATACTTTACCGTAGTTTTGCTGCTTTTATCAAATGATTTCTACCCTGGTTAGAACTTCACATGTTTCAAACCAACCCTAGGAAAGTGGAATGCATAAAACATTCCATGGGCTACATGAAGAGCTTTTAAAATAGAACTCTCTTATTTCAGACCTAGCTCACGTTAGGACATTTTATAAAGTCCATCCTGGAAATGGTAACCGAAAAACAAAGTCAAACTGCCCATAAAATTTACCTCCAGCAACTCGAGGATGAGATCTCACGAAATGGGAGCGATTATAACAGAAGCAACAAAGAATAAAGTCAGACAATCAGAGACAGTGTTTCCCAAGAACAAAGGGAAGATTTGAGAAACGAGGATGTTCCAACATGATCAAGTGGCCTCGGGCCAGGTTCTCACTGCAGCGTGAGCGCCTAGAGGATAAACAGCAGCTCCAGGGGATCCCCAGATCTCCTCTCTCCCATTATGCTCATTGCTCTGTAATGTGATCTAAGAAACTCTACAGGGACTCCCTGAAGCAGAAATCTGCACTTCTTTGCTATACTAGATGCTTCGGTCTGGTGACAGGAGAAACAACTGCGAGTAAATGTATTTCACCCACAG